GTGTTTGCATGATAACACACACACACGCACACGCAGTAACATCAACGGCAGAGTAAGTAGTGAGCATAATGTGTGTGTGTTTGTGTGTGTGTGTGTGTGTGTGTGTGTGTGTGTGTGTGTGTGGGTGTGTGTGTATGTGTGTGTAATAATAATGGGTTACATTCTTTTAAAGGTTCCTAAACGATCATCTTGGGAAGGAGGGGGGGCAGGAGGAGAAGAGAGGGCAGGGAAAGAGAAGAAGAGGAAGGGCAGGGGGGAGGGGGAAGGGCAAGTGGAAGGGGAAGGGCAAGTGAAGGGGGAAGAGCAGAGGGAGGGAGAGGAGGAGGGGGAAGGGGTAGGGGAGAATGGAGGGAAGGAAGGGCAGCAAAAGGGGGGAGGGGGATGGCAGGGGAGGGGCAAGACTGAGCAGGGGCGAAGGGGAGGGGGCAGAGGGGGCAGGAATGGGGGGGGGGAGGGGGGCGCTACTACCAAGTCATCTCCCCGCTTTCCATGACCTAGATCATTGTACATCTTTGGTGGTGTTGAACCCGTGATAACACAACCTTCCTTCCTGACCTCTGACCTCATCTCTGAACCCGACCTCCATTCCTGATGACCTAACCTGATCTCTTTGATCCTGACCTCTGTAACTGAACTTCCTTATGGCCTCCATTCTTGTCCGGATCTTTGACCTAACTTTCTTCCTGACCTCTGACCCCACCTCCTCTCTGAACTTCCTTTAAGACCTCCATTCCTGACGACCTAACCTTCTTCCTGATCTCTTTCTTCCTTCCTGACCTCTGACCTCACCTCCCTCTCTGAACTTCCTTTATGACCTCCATTCCTGACCTCATCGACCTAACCTTCTTCCTGATCTCTTTGACCTAACTTTCTTCCTGACCTCTGACCTAACCTCCTTCCTGAACTTCCTTAATGACCCTTCTCTCCTGACCTTTTTATTGACCTCTAACCTGACCTTCCTTGTTTACCTCCCTAACCTCTCCGCCTGACTTTCCTTACTGACCTTCCTGATACAAACTTTTCACCTGTAGGAGTTATCTTCCACCGTATGTCCTCAAGTTCTAGCCATCCGTCTCCTTAACTAACTGTATAACTGGTGTGACTGGTATAATAACTGGTAAGATTATTAGACTGTCATCACTAACTCAATATATAGCCAAGATAAAAGTAATATATATGTGATTTTTTTTATTTTCTTTTAATCATGTAACAACTCTGTATATCACGAGACTTTGTACACAATAATTGAGTATTTTTTTTACTGTCGACTTATCTACTTGTTAAGTATATTAATGTACTTATAAATATATTTTTGTAAGTACAGAAGTAGTCTTGAGTGTAAGGTGGAACTATGATAGAAATATATTTGTTTAATTAAAGGCTGTCAGAATGGAGTCACGTGAAGATTAAACCCCTATGCTTATTTTACCTCAAGATTAAGCCCCTAACTTAATCGTCCTAACCTAACCCACCCAGATAGCGTTAAGGAGTTTCATCTTCAGGTGAAATAAACTAAGGGGTGAGCTAATCTTCACGTGGTCCCTACACTGTACTTAACATATTCACACAGAAAATTTCAGCCAAATATTCGTGGTAAATAAATCTTATGTTAATGTGGGGGCCACGACCTGTTTACATAAGCAACGTGTAGTCGACAGTGCGGGTGACAGGCGGCTGACGTTGTCTATAATCCACCAAGTCTTGTATGTCTTCCGTGGGAGGCAAAAAAAATAACTGTAATTTACGTACTGCAATCTGACGGAGGCGAAGCAGTGTGTGTGTGTCACTCCTCCGTTAGTTGTTGAGGTTAAGATACGTCATAAAACATCATAGCACGCAGCAATTTGGTAACTTGTGTCAGTCAGCCGTACAGATCACATCCACACACCAGGACTCGGTAATTCATCTTCACCCTCTGGTTACGTTTAACATTCCTGCCTCTATCATTACGAACTGATTTACTGATGGATAGTTCTCCCCTCCCTCCCTAGGCTGTACCTCACTACCCCACTCGTCAACTCCTCCTCCCGCTGCTTATGACAACACGTGATGCTACTCATCTGCATAAATATCTACTAACGATAACATTAGAACACGAGAAGGGTAAACAACAAGACACCAGGAGAGCAGCTCGTAAATGATTATAATGTCCCTAACAAAACCACGAGACTAGGATGCTGTTACTGTTACGTTACGCCTCAACAACCATTATAATAAACAACACGAAACAGTAACACACAACGCTACAGGTAAAGTGTTCCAAGCGCATGGATGTGTGGCCACAGCTGTAAGTGCGGGTAGGGTGGCCACACAGCCGAAAGTGTAGGCGCTAGAGCAGGTCTTCTGGATGACTCAGCGCCCAGAACCGTCTTCCCGAACTAATGACAAGTGACGTTGGTCTTCCCTATATTTCCTACACTTACATCAGACCCGAACCTTTCTTACACACGTTGTGGCCGTGAGGTGACACATCACTACACACTAGTCCTTACACACACTGCACTTGACGGCCTTAGTTAAGTCCCCCATGTGAGTCAACGCCTTGAAGTCATGAAAAATAACACCAAATAAACTAATCAAACATAACTAATCTTTTCATTCAAGTAAGTTCATTCTAGTTGGTTCGTTTGTGTTATTTTTCATAAACAATTTAATAACTTTATATAACAATAATTATCTTCTTCCCTCCACATTACATCAGATTATGTTTATAATTAACGACAGACAAAAAAAAATCTCTACCAAACGATAATTTACTCAAGAACCGACGACGTAATTTCTCAACAAAAACACGTACAATAACACAGCAAGTCGGAACACCTTCATTATTATTTTATTTTTTATCTTGATTTCTAAGTCTCTCATCGTATTTCCTCCACATAAATTCCCCGTTTCAAGAGTGGTGAACAGTGAACAGCTGACAGTGGTAGCAATCATCAGACCTCAGCAACAGAACAAATTAAACCTTCGAGTTTAAAAAATAAAATAAAAAAAATTAAATAAAATAAAAAACATCTTGGACCACCACCACACACACACAGAAAGGAACATCTGTGGACAGCCAATGCACCACACATGTTATTTAGGTCAACCACAACCAGATGTTATCACTTAACCACGATTTAATGAAGAAATTCTGTATAGCCTCTTGGTAACGCATACACACAACAGACGCTGGTTAGGTTAGGTAGTGACAAGGAGGTAGGCTTGATAAGATAGTTTCTTACAACGACAAACTGAAGTTCCATATATGTCTTTTCTCTATGCCACAACAACAAAAAATCTAGCTACACTTTATCAAGGATCTTTGCCCTTTAGTTTGTTTTGATAAGAGAGAAAATTCGTTAAAATTTACGGAGATGAATGAAAATTACCTATGAAGGAAACTATTAATCCAGGTACTTTATTATCTTCTGTCACGTCTCTGTTGGCAAGTACTGGCTCCATAATGTATCTGTACCAGTGTTAGTCAAGGCTGGTCCTCACAACTCTCACTCCAAAAAAAAAATAGCTAGCACAGACAACTTTCTAAACCTGTGGCTTCTTCAACCTGAGGCCGGGACCTATAGCCGGGCGGCCAAACACTAGTTCCATATACGAACACTTGACAGAGTTAGGTTGATTCTTGTGATCTGCTCAAGTGATTTCTTAGCTCATTTTTTCCTTGACACTTCATTGGGTAGGTAAAATATATGATTACCACAAAGATATCCTACAGTCACTACCTTACTAATGGCGTATCATCGATGGCATTATCAATAATAGTTTGTTTGTATAGAATGTAAACACAGTGACAACGTAAAGGAAACAATATCTTTAAATTCAGTTAAGGAAAAATCAGGAGTTGTGTCCCAAACTTAACCAAGAATGGACTACAGGTGTTCAGTGGTCCGTGTCTGATCATTGAGAGAAATTAAATTACTTTTTGTTATATCACCAAAGCCTCCGAGGTAAACAATCAACTTGCCGTTTCTTAAATTAATTGAAAGTCTCTCTCTCTCTCTCTCTCTCTCTCTCTCTCTGCTGCTCTACTTAATTCACGTTCTGTACAACAAACTTTCCTTTCATCACACACTGACCACAACCTACAACAACAAGATTCTCCCCAGGGGTCAGTACTGGGCCCACTCTTGTTCATAATCTACATAAACGACCTAGATACTGGGATCAGCAGTGACATAAGCAAGTTTGCGGATGACACCAAAATAGGGCGGCAGATTAATTCAGGGCAGGATGCAAATGCACTACAGGAGGATTTAAATAAACTGCAGGAGTCGTCAGAAAAATGGCAAATGAAATTCAACACCAGCAAGTGCAGCGTACTTAATATTGGAAGAACAAATACATCTTTTCACATATCCGTTGAGACATTGTTACATAAATATTTGACAAATTTCATAACCGAATAACAGAACACATATCGAATGACAATCTTAAATAACTGTTGGTGGTCTGTCATTCTCCAATTGTTACATTCTCAAACTATATGTAGACTGTCGGTTTATTGTTCACGTCTGTCAACTTCATAACTTATGTCAATCACTTCCGTTAGCATGAACGAACAGTTATTTTAGATTGTCATTCGATATGTGTTCTGTCATTCGGTTATGAAATTTGTCAAATAGTTATGTAACAATGTCTCAACGGATATGTGAAAAGGTGTACTGCCAAAGTATACAGCCTTAACAACATCAACCTTGAGAAGTCGACTTGTGAAAGAGACCTAGGGGTACTTGTTAGCCCGGACCTACGGCCTAGAAAACAGTGCGTTAATGTTAGAAATAAGGCAAACAGAGTATTAGGTTTCATATCTAGAAGTGTAAGTAATAAGAGTGCAGAGGTCTTATTACAACTATATCTTACGCTTGTCAGGCCGCACCTCGATTATGCTGTTCAGATGGATGATGGAGAGTGGTAGTAACTCTCGACAGGAGCTGCCATGCACAGGCCAACCTTATTTTCTTATGTTCTAACCATAACCTATAACAACATCGCCTTACCTCATGTTACGTATCTTCATGTTGAAAGTTAACACCGTCTCAGCTGACAAAGACTAAGGTGATCCACTTCAGTTGTCGGGTCTTGTATGAACCTTCAAAGTTCTTCCGTAAAGTGTTCTCGTGTGTATAACTGTATAGGGTCTTGGAGAACAAACTGTCGGGGAAATTTCTTCTTTGACGTTCTTTCAACACTGTTCTTATATTTTTGTTCGTTTCACTGTTCTTCTTTGTCTAAGTTCTCATATTTCCTTGTTCTTTCAGCACTATTCTTTCTTTAATATCTACATCTTTTAATATAATTTTTAGTTTGTTCTAACGATTAGTGTTCTACAAAATGTTCATATCTCCTGTGATTATTACGTAGCTGTAGTGTTTAAATCTCTACATTGTTATATCAAAATGTTCTAGTTCTTTATAAATAAGTTCTACGGACTTTTTCAAAATATGCCAACAGTACTCTCGGATTTTGAGCAAACTGAGTTTCCATTTAACACCAGCAGTTCACAGAGTTTCCTGGACTACACCAAACAGCTCACAAGGCCTGGAGGACCTCCCCTACAGGAGTGAGGCGCCGCGTGCGTGTGAGAGCGGTGGGTCTTCCCTCAGAGGTCACTTCCCTTCCTCAATCACATCATAAATGGCCTTAAACTTTCCTGCCAGTGCTCTACATTACTTCCGCCACCTAACCAAAGTTTTTTTTTTTTCTTAGACAGCCGAGCGCATTCCACCCGCCCTTCTTGACCAGTCTGATGGATGTTCTTGACACTACTCTGTTGTTTGTAGTCGCCTTTGTTTTGGGTAAAATCCTTGCTTATTCTCTTCACTATCTTCACACGTGCTTTCAGAAGGATGTGCGAGAGAACTTGTATGTGTTTTCAAAATGTTGGATTCACAAAAGAGTGATATCAAGACGGGTAATGATGGGCTTTCCTGATTAAAGTGTCTGAGTGGAGAAGGTGGAAGTAGTCAGACGTCAACAAGGAGCGTGCGACACAACCTCCTTCCCTCACTGCTCACGTACAACTGATACCTCGCCGGGTTTTCATTCTCGTTTTCCCTCACCGTCAGTAGGTCACCCGCCACCTTTTGATGCTTTTTACTATATTTTCTTATGGGAGGATCGCTGAACACTTTCATGGTGGTAGAGTGAACACAGTGGGGGAAATAGGTAACATTTTTGTGTAAGAAGAATGACAGGTGCATATCAAAGTTGTCAACAATAATTAAGGGTTAAAAAACAGTGTTTGTGCCAGGAAATATTCAAATCAGTTACCTTATAAGAAATAAACAATTCATAAGTTCGAATAAAACTCCTCAAAATTCTTAAATTGACTACAGAAACTTGATATAATTCTATGTAACAATCAATTCGTCGCTAAATAAAATTCGCCGCTAAATTAGGCAGCTCGGGTGGGTCGGTGAAGCTCCACTAACGGGACCTGAATAGTGCTAGTTGTGTTTATCATTCCTAGTATAATCTACATGTTATTTTGGACTCAATCTTTTCTTTACCTCGACTCATCAAAATTAAACTAGAGGAAGACAAGACAGCTGGTAAATAATTGAAGTTTACACCGAGACAGACTGAGCAGTTGCCAGTTCCTTCTGAGTAATTTTGGACAAGAATGTCGATTATTTTGAAAGATTCTTATATTCAACTAAAAAAAATTTCATTTATTTATATCCATTTACTATGACTGATTACATGTGATTAGTACCTGATGGTTTTGGCAAATTGTCTTCCTGTTTATAATTATTTGTGTACCAGCATGTGTTAGGTACAGCATTGTTTGTTTGCTTCTACGTTCTATAGATATTATATAATTACCTTGTCTACGTACAGTCACCCAAAAAAATCCTGTCGCGAACCATGAACCCCGAGATTCAGACTCTTGACTCCGAAGCATTTATGGACAGAATAATGCATCAGTGTCAACTGCTTCGGGTTCACGAGTCTGAATCGTGGTTCGCAACATGACTTTTTTTGGGTGACTGTACATGCTGAACTGTAGTTATATACATTTTGATATACAGTAATTATTTAATGACCTCTTTACTACAATATAATTATCATACAATCATACATTATAAAGGACAATCATACATTCACCTATATCAGGATTTTATTAAGTCAATATATACACAGGGTACTTGTATACACACACTATACAGGGCGACCCAAAAGTTAGGAGTCGCAGAGAGTATGGGAGGCTCAAGTACAATAATTAATTCCTTTATATAATTACTACTTTACATAAATATACTAATAACCTTAATTAATTATTCTAGAAAACAGTTTATTTAGTCTTTAACTTTTTACAATATTACCACTACGTTTCCTAACTTCCGGGGCCCACCTGTGTGTTAATATATAGGGTGATGCATAAGTTGCTTGCCTGAGAACAAGTATCGAGGGAGAGTGACTTATGAGCCACCCTGTATACAAAGAACTAGAGTCTACCTATTGTGGGGTATAAGAGGTGAAGCAACACTTACTATTGAATGTTATCCATATAAACGATTTACTTTTAATACTAAGAGTAAGAACAATGTACTTGAACAATAGTTATAAAAGAGATAATCGTGTTTATAAAGCCCGTGTGCACTTTTGAACTATATAGCTACCGGTATGTATGTAAGTATATATATATATATATTAAAAAAAATGACAGGTTAAAAAGTATTGATTCTAATAAAACTTTATAAACATTTTCTTTCATATGTCAATTGCAAATTATTTATATCATGTGTTCATACAAAGTTATTAAAAGTTTAAATAAGTACACGAACTTTATACAAAAACCCTGTACGAATTTCAGCGCCATCTATTAAACAGATGATAGACTAGTAAAGGTACATTACAGTTTAGCTCCATCAGTTACAGGTCTTTCTATCTCTCCCTCTCTGTTGATGACTAGTGTGTTCCCTAACCTCAAATACACACTTGATGACCGTAATAATCATTGAAGCTCAGTAACACATAATAACATCAATATAGTTTATCGCCACAGTATAATATCTCTTATATATTGACAAAATCTTCACTGAAAAGTTTGTTTTGATGTTAAATGTCTGTCTGGTGGTAGAAAATGGAAGTATATTTGTGAACCAGTGTGAAGCGCAACACAGCTACCAACCTAACGATCCTTTGGTTAGATTAGGTTAATTCAGCTGGCGTGGGAAACAGTAGAAGAACCCCACTGGAAACAACATGCTCCTTATATATTTCTCAGAGCCAACCTGGATGGAATCTATTTATTGTTTATCATTGTATAAACTATACTGTTTATATACACGCTAAATCAATATAAAGTTGTATGGTGATTTTAAAGAATAAATATCTATCTATCGAATATGGTAGAGAATTCACCAAAGCCTCACTCTAGTCACTGTAGACTGCTGAGATCAACCAATGGGCGCGACATTGAAACACACATTCCACAATCACATTACGATGCTTAATAATTTCATCTCGGGGTTCTAGATTAAAAAAATAACCTTTGAGTCCTACATAAATTTGCTAGAAAAATGTCTCGTACTTCAGCGTGTAGCAGGTGTGTACAACAAAGTTTCAAGTGGTAACGGCGCTAAATATAATTAATGAGTAATGAAGATCGCGCGACTGGGAATATTTTACTGTACCAAAACATAAAACTGGTTTAGTAACTAAACCAGTTTTATGTTTTACACAATGGCCACCCACTAGGGGTAGCCATGCCAAGGGAAGGAAGCCAGTGACAAGTATCAGATCCCTCCATTGTTCCTGATAAGTCTTGTCAAGGGCTAATTTGAAGTCCAGTACTGTTCTCGATTCCACAGCTGGGAGACAGTTCCATAGGTCTACCAGCCTCTGTGTGAAGAAGTATTTCCTTAGGTTCGTTGTGCATGATAACTTGGCGAGCTTGTAGTTATGTCCCGTCGTGGTGCGGGACATCACAGGAAATGGCCCGGGTTCACGTTTTCTATCTTCTTTAAGTTGAGATTGATGCAGTTTTGCCCTGTCCTATTGGTGGTGGTGGTGGTTGTTGTTGTGGTAACTTTAGTAGATGACGTAGTAGTAGTAGCTTTTGGTAGCAATAGCTATAGTAATATATAGTAATAGCAAAAGTTATAGTAATAGAAATAGTAGTAGTTGTGGTAATAGTAGTAGCAATAGCTGTAGTAATAGCAGTAGTTGTGGTTAAAATAGTATCAACAGAAGCAGTAGTTCCACTTGAATAATAGCAATAGTAATTATAATAGTGGTAATAAATGAAAGATCAAATATAACAATTGTAATAGTTGTTGTTATAAATAAAACTGATTAATTTTTTTATCGTTTCACTACTGATCAGTTTACTAGCTGTTTGGGTGGTTGATCTGTTCTCTATCGTCCAGTGTTAGTACAAGAGGAAACAGGAATAGCCGAAGGAAACTTGCCCCCATGTGTGGTAGGGCCAACACTCGAACCCAGGACACAGTGAAAAAAGATACGTGTGTGTACTGATACTGTTAAGATTGATATGAATAAGAGAGAGAGAGAGAGAGAGAGAGAGAGAGAGAGATCTACAACCACCTGGCCAGAATTACACACAGAGCCAGCACAACACCACTGTCTGACCACCTCCTTGCCGATGACTCCTGTTCCTGTTCCTGTTCCTGCTCCTGTTCCTGTTCCTCCTCCTCTGTACCTGGGAAAAAAATTACATTACTCACAAATTTCTTTCTTTTTAAAACCATCTTTTTATGAATGTGATCTTAATTATATTAGTTTGTATTCCATAGTTGACGAGAAATATTAAACATCAGTGTAAATGATATCTTTTGTTTACTGTTTACAACAATACACCGTGTAAACCTCTTTATATTTATTTTAATTCATTACTTAACTATCACAATGTACCGTATGTTTGTTCTATTAAAATATCAATATATTAATCATTCACTTTATATTCTTAACATAATTTCTGGCATTAAAATTCAAATTACTTCATTTCGTTCAATTAAAGTCACATTCATATCCTTTCATTTCATTTTATACACATCATTTATTCAGCTTTACTCCATTGTTCATCATCAAATATTCGTTTCATTATTTCCAATTCAACGTGAAATTTAGTTTGCGCCAATCACACGGTTGTAATAAATCCCGCTAATTTACCGCGTATTTAAATCCCACCATATAAACACGGCCTTTAAATCCCACTATATAAACACGGCCTTTAAATCCCACCATATAAACACGGCCTTTAAATCCCACTATATAAACACGACCTTTAAATCCCACTATATAAACACGACCTTTAAATCCCACTATATAAACACGGCCTTTAAATCCTACTATATAAACACCTTTAAACTGAACCATAGCGTAAAATTCGTGATATACTGAGCTAATTTAGGTTTTCTTTAACCCTAACGTTTTTAATAAGAGAAAACGGAGTACCTTCAGGGGTAACTACTTAGTAATTTTAAGTTACGTCAAATTTTGGCCCAAAGCCTTGAAGATATACTGAGCTGCTGCCCTGTCGTCAGTTTTATGTCTGCCTGTATGTATGTTACTGTAATAAAAAGTTGTACCCCATATGACATTTTAACTTACCAGAAAATCATCATCACCACCATCATCAAAATTTACGGCCATTTTTCACGCTTGTGTTGATGTTTTTCGCCATCCCTCCCCCACCCATCTATCAATCTCACCATTTAAGAATCTCCAAGAGTCTCCCCAGCCGATACCGTCTCGATCTCTAAGGTTGTCCTCCGTCAGCCACTCCTGCAGGGGGGCGAAGTAGTGAAGGAGGGCACGGGAACTCATGCGTCTCTCCCCCGTCATCACCTCCAGGGCGTCCTGCCACGGTACTGACGACCCCAGCGATAGCATCTTCCTGTAGGGGAGGAGGTAGAGGTCTTCACTCAAGGTTCTAGGCAGATAATAGCTCTATGTCTTCTATATTACCTCCTTTAATATATTTCATCTTTATTCTATGTATACATTTAATATATTGACATGGCTTGACCTGTCACCATTTTTGTGTACGTGTGTGTGTGTGTTACTTACGCTAGCAGGTCTCCTGCTTCCTTTGACCCGTAGAAGTCGCAGGTGTGTAGAGGCCCCTCGTGACCCGCCGCCTCACACAGCTTCTCCAGGAACTACGGCAGATCACAGGTCATAAAGGTCACGTCACAACCCAGGTCAAAGTTGTAGGTCAGGTGTGATGGTGTTAATAAGAAGATAATTAATAGGTATAATTAATCACAAACAGGTGAATATAGTACTCATAAACACTCATAAACACAGGTACTCTCACACCTGGAACTGCAGTATGGTCCTGGTGAAGTAGCGGATCATGTCGTAGTTGTTGGCGATGTGGAAGATGGCCGGTGGGTCAAGGTCCTCCGGAGACCTGGCCACCGGAGCCTCGACACCCAGGTACTGCTCTCTGTGGGGGTGTGGGGATGGGTGAGAGGGTGTTGGGGTGTGGGGAAGGGTGTGTTGGGGTGTGGGGGAGGGTGTGTTGGAGTGTGAGAGAGGGTGTGTTGGATTGTGGGGGAGGGTGTGTTGGAGTGTGAGGGAGGGTGTGTTGGAGTGTGAGGGAGGGTGTGTTGGATTGTGGGGGAAGGTGTGGGGATGTGTTGGCGAGTGTAGAACAGGTGAGAGGGGGAAATGGGTGACTGTGGTTAAGAAACACCATCTCCTACACCTATATAGTCCTGTCACACCTACACCCAGATATACCCCCAACACCAATTACACTCTTCACCTACAGGTACACTTTCAACTCACCTACACTTCCCACCTACACCAAAATACACTTCAATAAACCAGTACCTTCTTCACCTATATCAAATTAGATACACCCCTCAACCCCCCCCTACCTCCTCCTCCCCCAAACCGAATGTAAATACTTACTTCAGTTGCCAGTAGCGGGTGTTGTACTCCTGAAGGTGGTACTGCCCCCTGAAGGCTCGCCACCGCCACAGGTCGTTCACCAGGTGGAAAGGAAGCGTGGTGACTGACTGTAATGCCGTCCTCACCAAGAAGTTAATGCTGATCTCTGTAAGGTGTGATGCTAAGGTTTATCTTGGTGTGCGCACACACACACACACACACACACTTTATATCCCCCGTCAAAAGTAACATCTCGAACCTTTTCAAAAATATTCTGATCACAATATCTCACATCTTCAACCATAAGAAACACCTAACTTGGTCAACCTATAGTTATTTTAAAGTAATTTATAATCACTTCTAAAATATTCTAACCTGTAACACAGCATCAGACACCCTCATTAAACACACTACATTATTTGACTTAATTTTTTTTGCCTTTTTTTTTTACTATTCTACAATGATCAAGATTCATGTGTATGTTTCCTGAGACTCACCCAAGCTCTCAGGAACCTCCTGTAGAAGGTTCATCTTCTCCAGGTGTTGTGGCGTCGACATGGACATGGACATCAGTTCACCGATGGCCTCGTGGAACCCGTCGTTAGCGCCGTCCCTGTGAGAGGAGTGAGACGGGAAGTGTGTGTGGACAGAGAGAATTATATATCGGTAATCCAACCTGTAGGTGAGGGGCAGGTGAGAGTACTAACCTGTAGGTGAGGGGCAGGTGAGAGTACTAACCTGTAGGTGAGGGGCAGGTGAGAGTACTAACCTGTAGGTGAGGGGCAGGTGAGAGTACTAACCTGTAGGTGAGGGGCAGGTGAGAGTACTGCATGAAGTACTGTATGTGACCCAGCTCGTGGTGGATTGTGCCGAGGTTCTCAAAGTTGACCTCTGTACACATCTTGATCCTGTAGAGAGAGAGAGAGAGAGAGAGCGCGAGTGTTAGTCTTCCCCACCTGACCTGACCTGACCTGACCTTAGACACCAAAAACAACAGGAGTAAAATATGGTCGTAGGAACCTTTGCTACTCTACAACCAGGGGAGGGATCCTACCTGAAGTCCTTTCCGTCGTAGAAATCCCAGGCGGTAGGATGGCACACGACGTCACGACCATCCTCAGGGCGCTTCAACATGGACCTATTCCAGAAGGTGTCTTTCAGTGGCTGTGGGAGGCGGTGAAGGAGGAGGAGAAGGAGTCAGGTGGTGGTGGTCAGGAATAACGATTTAATAGCCTAATTTTAAGTTGTATTAAATTTTTGTTCAGTATACCAGTAGTTGTCTCAGTATATGGTTTAATTCTATATATTAGTTCTCAATGACCATCTTCACGTTTTATTTTCTACCATCACCCTCACTCTCCATCACCTCCCTCATCCCCCTCACTCACCTCAAGGCCCATGGAGGTAAAGAACTCGTCCCCCATCCTAAACATCTGTTCCACGGTGTAGTTCTGCTCTATCAACGCGTCTGTTACATCAATGTCTGGCTGATCCGGGAACGGCGCCACCTGGGAGTAGACGTTGGTCCAGAATCTGCCGGGTGAACCTCAACCTAGAACCTGATACCGGAACCTAGAACCTGATACCTGAACCTAGAACCTGATGCCTGATACTAGTACCAATAAGAATAAGTCACAGGAAAAAAGTCACAGAAAATGTCACAGAAAAATCAGGAAAAAAGTCGCAGAAAAAAGTGGAGTTTCTGGCCAACAATTTACCAACATCAGTACATAAAAAAAAAATCAAGAATAAACAAATAAAATTACAATTGGCGAGTAATTAAAGTTGTTGAAATAAAAGACAAAAAAATTAATTATTCCAAGAGTCATTAGCACAAGTAATTATCAAAGCTAATGTTTATTTCACCTCAGATCCTTAATTTTTTATATAGTTCCACATCCATACATACATACATACATACATATATACATACATACATACATACATACATATATACATACATACATACATACACTATCTCTTGCTCTATGTAACCACCATCTCTCGCACTCCCTGACCTGACCTGACCTAGTACTGACCTGCCCCACATGTCCCCTAAAACGCAGGCTGGCAGACGTCCTCTCGCCTCTATCTGTACGGGGTCGAAGGTCATGGGTAAGGTCACGGCAGATAATAAAAATACCGTTTACTATTTTAATTTATTGACTTAACTTATATATTTATAGTTGCATAGTGTACAGGAGACGTTAAGAGTGTGAGTGTGTGTGTGTGTGTGTGTGTGTGTGTGTGTCCCTGTAAACCCATGCCAAGCAATAAGTAAGTTAATTTATTATAAATTCTGAAACTTCCTTAAAAAATAAACACTATTACAGTCAAACTTAATCTGAACATTATTAACATCTAAAGTTAACACAATAAACATACTTTAACATAACTGAGGTTTAGAGAGGGGGCAGCATCTCACCTGGGGGTACACCTGACGCAGTTTCTTCCTGACGTAGGCGTGCATGAGGCGGTAGAGTGGGTCAAGTTCCTTGTAGAGCCTTAATATGTCCTCCTCGAACGTCTCCGTCTCGTACTGTGTGGAGGAGGAGGTGGTGTAGGAGGCAGGAGGAGGAGGTAATGGAGGTTAAGGAGGAGGAGGTGGTGGAGGTTAAGGAGGAGGAGGTGGAAGGAAGAGGTATTGAGTTAGAGGAGGAGGGGTAGGTGGTGGTGGAGGAGGAAGAGGAGGAGGAGGTAGTCGAGGTTAAGGAGGAGGAGGTGGAAGGAAGAGGTATTGAGTTAGAGGAGCAGCGTGAGGTGGTGGTTAGGAGGAAGAGGAGGAGGAGGTTGAAGGTGAGAAGGATGAGGTGAGGAAGAGGGGAAAGAGAGGATCAGATGAGGCTGGTTTAATATTGTTTAGACGTGAAAGAACAGTCTCTCTCTCTCTCTCTCTCTCTCTCTCATTACTATTTACTCAATTTACACTATTGTCATTCACTCATTCTAAGCTTTCTTTTTTGCAGGGATTAGCCCACCAGGCACAGGTCACTGACCCACATCAGGGCCTGGGGGCAAAATGTAGTAGTGATAATATATATATATATACATATATATATATATATATATATATATATATATATATATATATATATATATATATATATATATATATATATATATATATATATATATATGTTGTGTTGTCAATAGTAAGAGAAACAATTGAGACCCTGCAATTGTGTGTAAATGAAGCAGAAAGTCAGATCATCAACCTGGGACTTGGTCACATAAGGCAGCAGGGTCTACCATTAGACAACACATTGTGCTTCCAATATCTTCCCAGGCGGTAGTACCTCCCTGTTTGGTAGCTGCCTAAAACCTTGTCTCTCAAACATCAGTCTTAAATGTCTATCTTAAGTGTCTCTTTAGTGTCTGTCTTAAGTGTCTATCTCAAGTGTCTCTCAAGTGTATAATCCATGAAGCTACCTTAAACGTCTGTGTGTGTAAACATTCGCCAGTACAGTAAGACGTCACCTTCATTCTTAGCTCGTGGCCGTAGTCGCTGTAGCCGTTCAGCCTCGCCTTCTTGTTGACCAGCTCAATGTACTGTAGGTAGTGGGGCCTCAGCTGCTGGTGGAGAGAGAGAGAGAGAGAGAGAGAGAGAGAGAGAGAGAGAGAGAGAGAGAGAGAGAGAGAGAGAGAGAGAGAGAGAGAGAGAGAGAGAGAGAGAGAGACAGAGAGAGAGAGAACAGAGAGAGAAAGACAGAGAAACAGACAGAACAGGCAAAGACAGAGACAGAAATGGAGAGAGACAGAGAGAACAAACCACTTATTACTAAACTATGAATAATTAAACTTCAAAATAATAAACTATTTAACATTAACCATAATTACCAAGGAACAAAGTGCTAATTAGGCTTTTTATTAACTCGTATCATTAGAGAGATCAACCTGAAGATTAATCACCCCTAACGCTACCTGGGGGGGGGGGGGTTAGGTTAGGTTAAGTTGGTGAAAATTGGTTAGTTTGGATAGATTAAGTTAGCATTTGTTCAAGTTAGGTGGGGATAGATTGAATTAAATTAGCGTAGGGTGCTTAATGTTCAGGTGATATAGGCGTAGGAGAGGAGGAGGAGGAGGGAGAGAAAAATCATGAGGAACTCCCATAAGATCTAACCTAACCTAACCAAACATTAACCTAACCTAACCAAACATTAACCTAACCTAATCAAACATTAACCTAACCTAATCAAACATTAACCTTAACCTAACCTAACCAAACATTAACCTAACCTAACCATTAACCTAACCAAACATTAACCTAACCTAACCAAACATTAACCTAACCAAACATTAAACCTAACCAAACATTAACCTAAACATTAACCTAACCAAACATTAACCTAACCTAACCAAACATTAACCTAACCTAACCAAACATTAACCTAACCTAACCAAACATTAACAGTACCTTTCTGGCTACGTTGGTCCGCCACCTCTCCCAGATAAAGGACAGTTGGTCAAAGTCTCTGGATTCGGCCATTATCTTCGTCAATCCTGGGTCTAGGGTCAGGCAGTTCTGGAAGGTAAACAAAATACAGTGTGGTAAATGTGGTGTTACAGTGTGGTAAATGTGGTGTTACAGTGTGGTGAATGTGGTGTTACAGTGTGGTAGATGTGGTGTTACAGTGTGGTAAATGTGGTGTTACAGTGTGGTGAATGTGGTGTTACAGTGTGGTAAATGTGGTGTTACAGTGTGGTAAATGTGGTGTTACAGTGTGGTAAATGTGGTGTTACAGTGTGGTAGTGTGGTAGTGTTTACAGGTAGACATTAAAACAAACTAAACAGTGCCACTTACTCCACACACCAAGACCCTTAATGAGTGCCACATATTTCACAAACCAACCACAGTGCCACTTCCCTACCCCCCCCCCCCTAACCCTATCAATGGCACTTACCTCTGGAGTGAGACAGACAGTGCCAGTGGAGTAGATGGTTGACATTGTGGAGAGGATGCTGGTGAGGTTCTTGGAATCGTCTTCATCCAGCTGAGCGGTGAACGCCTTCAGGAGGGAAAAGGGAAATGGTTTATTTACTTCTGTGAGGAGTCTGACTATGTTGACTACCTTACTAAACATTCTGACTTACAATCTGTTATGTTGACTCGCTGAATTGCAGACTAAGTGTTATACTGACTATGTGACTATCTGACTGACTCACTCATTGACTTACCATAAGACACATTCACAAAGTTATTTCCATATTAGAAAAGACATATTTCAATCCAGACTGCAGAAGAATTCCATATAATGATCAATTCAACGCCAAGTAATAATTTTTCAGCCTTGTTACGGGAATGTGTAATGAACCACTTAACAACTTCATACCATGTCATCAGAGAGAGAGAGAGAGAGAGAGAGAGAGAGAGAGGGAGAGAGAGGGAGAGAGAGGGAGAGAGAGAGAGAGAGGCTGTGCAGGTGAGTCGCTTTTCGTTCATACACATAATACCGACAATCAGGGGTTGAAGTCTCAGATCCGTCCAGTCTGACTAACAAGTAAAAGACGTGAATGACTTAAAATGACTTGAAATAACTTGAAATGACTTAAAATGACTTGAAATGATTTAAGTTACGTACAAAAATACAGTATTCATGTTCTCCTCTTCGTAATATGCTTAAGTCAATACGTCAGATCAAGTGCGAGACCGAGTTTGTTTACTAAGGTGACCGGAGCCCCTCACCACACAACTAACCATATATATACGTAACCAAACCTCATGACTCACCACACACTTGATGACTCACCACACACTTAATGACTCACCACACACTTAATGACACACCACACACCTTAATGACTCACCACACACCTTAATGACTCACCACACACCTTAATGACTCACCACACACCTTAATGACTCGCCACACACCTTAATGACACACCACACACCTTCATGACTCACCACACACCTTAATGACTCACACCATCTGACCCATCATCTGACTCACTCTACCTGTCCCGTATGGCTTCAGAGGCAGGACATAATATATAGTTATCAAGCTAGTCTAGTGTCCTCTTTTTCAACTAGTGCCCCATTACACAGGTGACACTTTCCACGGGTGACACTTTCCTAGGGTGACACTTTCCACAGGTGATTGGTCAGGTGTCAAGCCAAAGTGTGTCAGAGACGGTAGTACAATACAGACCTGTCATAACCTAACCTAACCTTACCTAACAACCTAACCTAAGCTAACCTAACCTTACCTAAGCTAAGCTAACCTAAGTTAAGCTAACCTAAGTTAAGCTAACCAAAGCTAAGCTAAGCTAATCTAACCTAAAATTAACTTACAGTATTTCATGTTAATGTTAAAATAGAGTTACATCTTGACTGACTCACTACCGATTCGTGTTCTGCAAATGACTCACCAAGTAACTCACCAAGTGACTCAGGAACACCCTAGTGACTCACCATCTTCATGAGCCTAGAGGTACTGGGGGCGAGGTCAGCCTTCAGGTAGGTCTTGACCTTGTTGTACCATCGCTCCTGGAACTGTCGAGTGATGAGTGACGCCTCCTCCTGTGGATGTCAGAGGTCAGTTGAGGTCAAGCAATATCAAGGAGGTTAGGTGAGTGCTGTATTGTGGCGCTGGCTGTGTTAATGGTGTCTTATGGTGTAGGGAGAGACTATGGTTAGGTTAATGGTGTCTTATGGTGCAGTGAGGAGCTATGGTTGTATTAATGGTGTTTTATGGCGTTGAGAGAGGAAATATGGCACTGGTGTAGTTTAATGGTGTTAGAAAGTACTTGTATTTATCATGTACTTTACAGGTGAGAAAAACAGTAATTAACGACCATGAACAGGTGTTAAGTGTCCTTTATACCGTAGAGCTTTTAAGGAGTTACGTCAACAGGTAGAGACAGATCACCTGATAATTAGCCATACCTTCAGCTTATTTCACCTGAGAACTAATTAACCATCTTAACAATACCTGGCTTGGCTAATCATTCATCAGGTGAGATAAGCTCAGGTGTCTAAGGAAGTAAAAGGAGAAAATATAACAAAACGAAAATACTGATTGAAAACGACTGCTGGAAAAGAAGGAATGTTGGTGAGGAATGAACAGAACAGGATGAGGAATGCATTGTTTTTGACAGTAGTGGGAGGGTGGGAGTGGGGCGGGGAAGGGGGTAAAGTAGGAGGGATAGGTGAGGGGAAAGTGGAAGGGAGGGAGGGGAGGTGGGGGAGAGGGCTGGGCTGTGGGAGGGATAAATGTAAGTCGTGTTTTCCTCCACCAACGGTCAGTGTAAGGTAGGAGGGAGTGTAGGTTTGGGGGGAGCTGTGTAGGTGGCCAGGAGGGAGCTGTGTAGGTGGCCAGGAGGAGGGGAGCTGTGTAGGTGGCCAGGAGGAGGGGGCTGTGTAGGTGGCCGGGGGAGAGCTGTGTAGGTGGCCAGGAGGGGGCTGTGTAGGTGGCCGGGAGGAGGGGGAGCTGTGTGGGTGGCCAGGAGGAGGGATGCTGTGTAGGTGGCCAGGGAGGAGGGGGAGCTGTGTAGGTGGCCAGCAGGAAGACGGATAAAGGGTAAGAGGACCAGGAAGAGAGAGAGAGAGCTTGGCCTGGACACCCCCATGTACAAGACAGACAGACAGACAGAGAGTCAGACAGACAGACAGACAGACAGACAGACAGATAGACAGACAGACAGACAGTACTCACCATGACCTCTCTGTTGTGGTCGGTAATATTAGTGTTGTAGGCCCAGGCTTTCAGTGAACCATTATTATACAGCTTCTCTGAGTCCTTCTGGTACACCCCAAGTAGTCTCCGAGCTTCTGCCTCCGCCGCCCTGTGAAGTCATGTGACAGGTGGTGACTTGTATGGCGTGACAGGTGGTGACAGTATGGCATGACAGATGGTTACAATATGGCGTGACAAACATTGACAGTGGTATATGGCAGCTGGTGACAGGGTTATGACACTGTTAAGGGAATCGAACTGTTTTTAAAATTTATAAAACATCTTTTGTAAACATTTTCTAACTTTCGTCATCATTAAATTAAAAACAGAAAAAAAACCAGTCTACAAGCTCTCTGTGTGTGGTGGTAGTCGTACTTGTGGTCGTAGTAGTAGTGGTGGTGGTAATGGTGGTAGTAGTAGTAGTATTTTATTATTAAAACCGAGTACTGTACTTGATTAGGTAAAGATACGCTGTGTAGTATCAAATATAGGTTAGGTTAGGTTAGGTACAGAATTGGTTAGCTTAGGTACAGAATTGGTTAGGTTAGGTTAGGTACAAAATTGGTTAGCTTAGGTACAGAATTGGTTAGCTTAGGTACAGAATTGGTTAGCTTAGGGTAGGTACAGAATTGGTTAGCTTAGGTACAGAATTGGTTAGGTAAGGTTTAGAGAATTGGTTAGCTTAGGTACAGAATTGGTTAGCTTAGGTACAGAATTGGTTAGGTAAGGTTTAGAGAATTGGTTAGCTTAGGTACAGAATTGGTTAGGTTAGGTACAGAATTGGTTAGGTAAGGTTTAGAGAATTGGTTAGGTTAGGTTACATAAGGCACAGATGTCTGATGAGCCATAATGGTGAAGTTGGTGTTGTAACTCAGCAGTGAACAGGAGGTGATGTTACGGCTAGTTATTGAACACACAGGCGCGATAACACTGTTCTTAACCTTAGGTGATCTTTAACCCTTTGATAGCGATGATTTAACCCTTTGATGGTGATGATTTAACCCTTTGATGGTGATGATTTAATCCTTTGATGGTGATGATTTAACCCTTTGATGGTGATGATTTAACCCTTTGATGGTGATGATTTAACCCTTTGATGGTGATGATTTAACCCTTTGATGGTGATGATTTAACCCTTTGATGGTGATGATTTAACCCTTTGATAGCGATGATTTAACCCTTTGATGGTGATGATTTAACCCTTTGATAGCGATGATTTAACCCTTGATGGTGATGATTTAACCCTTTGATGGTGATGATTTAACCCTTTGATGGTGATGATTTAACCCTTTGATGGTGATGATTTAACCCTTTGATGGTGATGATTTAACCCTTTGATGGTGATGATTTAACCCTTTGATAGCGATGATTTAACCCTTTGATGGTGATGATTTAACCCTTTGATGGTGATGATTTAACCCTTGATAGCGATGATTTAACCCCTGATGGTGATGATTTAACCCTGATGATGATTTAACCCTTTGATGGTGATGATTTAACCTTTGATGGTGATGATTTAACCCTTTGATGGTGATGATTTAACCCTTTGATGGTGATGATTTAACCCTTTGATGGTGATGATTTAACCCTTTGATGGTGATGATTTAACCTTTGATGGTGATGATTTAACCCTTTGATGGTGATGATTTTGATGGTGATGATTTAACCCTTTGATGGTGATGATTTAACCCTTTGATGGTGATCTTTAACCCTTTGATAGCGATGATTTAACCCTTTGATGGTGATGATTTAACCCTTTGATGGTGATGATTTAATCCTTTGATGGTGATGATTTAACCCTTTGATGGTGATGATTTAACCCTTTGATGGTGATGATTTAACCCTTTGATGGTGATGATTTAACCCTTTGATGGTGATGATTTAACCCTTTGATGGTGATGATTTAACCCTTTGATAGCGATGATTTAACCCTTTGATGGTGATGATTTAACCCTTTGATAGCGATGATTTAACCCTGTCTGTCTGTCTGATTATCTGTCTGTCTGTCTCACAACAACTTACAACACAACAACACGCTACACAACCTGGAAAATAATACAAAATGTTGCCAGAGACGCTAACACCAGTCTGTCTGTCTGTCTGTCTGTCTGTCTGTCTGATATGTTTCTCTATCTGTCTTTATTTCATCTGTCATTCAGTCTGTTTATTTTTCTTCTGTCTGTTTATCTATGGTTCTTCTCCCTGTATACTTGTCAATCTTCTGACATTTCAAACTGGTCTGTATACAGGAACGGTGAAGTGAACACAGTACAGACTATATTTGAATAACATTATTACTAACCTAAGATAACCTAACCTAACCTTAACTAAACCAGAACCTTTCTCTTAGCCGCTATGTTGCTTCACTCTCTCCGTGGATTTGGGCATCCTGTGTACCGCCGGCAAGACCGTGGGCTCGTAACACACGTCTTGCCCGTGGTGTCCACCGTTTCTCTGTGGATGTCGGTCACACTATAATAACCCGTTATAGTACCTCCTTCTTTCCTCACACAGCCAAACTGTGGAATACTCTGCCTTCTTCTGTGTTTCCATACTCATACAATGTCTCACTTCAAAAAGATGGTTTCCCGGCATCTTTGTGGTGTATATTAATATAATCTTTTTTCTTTTCTATTTCTGATTTCTTTTTACTCTTATTTTTTCGCCCCCTAGACCCCGTTGTGCGTCGATGACCTGTGCCCGGGTGGGCTATTCCCCGTAAGAAAAAGACCTAGCTTGACCTAACCTAACCTACCCGTAACCTCACCTAACCTAATTTATGGCAGGAAACAACGTATTTTTTTTTTAATTCCGCTTATGAACTAATTTCCATTACTTTATAACAATAAAAAAATATATATTCTAATTTGGCAAAACAAAAATTATAAGAACGATTATCCTTGTGTGTGTGTGTGTGTGTAACGTGTGCCGTGGGATAGCCTACATGGGTTACTCAAGCAACTTTCACCAACCCACTTTCTATTGAAGCGAAACAGGTTTTCTTACGTGTGTACTTGGCGCTCAGGAGGAAGACACACACACACGCACACAGACACAGACACACACACACACAGACACAGACACACACACACACAGACAGACACACACACACACACACGAGGAAAATTATACATCACATACTCGTCACACACAAGGCTAAAAAAAAGTTGTGAGTACCTGAGCCAAGCCTCGTCCATGTCAGGGTAAGGCGTCACATGAACACACAACATCCTTAAAAGGCTCACATAATATATATCCTTATTTCTTCTCTTTGTGGAGACTAAGAACGACCTTACTTCTCTTCAATCTAGTAAATACATTACTCGCCTCCCCCCAACACAAGACACAGCTGGATACAATATTTAAATTCTGGATTAAAAAAAGAAGAAAAAATAATCACCTTTTAGCTCCGTATGTCGCCCGGTAGGTAGGTGGAGCCGAGGATTCCAAGTAAACCTTAAACCATGCCTTAAAACTGTGGACTACTTAATGTAATAACTAACTAAAAAATGTATCTGAGATGATATATTAGTTACTGATGTTTGAGAGTTAAGAATGACTCGGTTTAGAAAGTAAATCTGTTGAAAAATGCGATTCTTTGAGAGAGTGTGGTGTTGATCGGTCCGAGAGGGGGCGTCGTACCCGTTAGTGGGGTGACTCAACACAGTTCCAGGACTTGACTGTAGGTGGTGGTGGTGTGTGTGTGTGTGTGTGTTTGTTGTTTGTTTTATCCAAGAATATGTTAATGATTTGGTTTGTTTACTAACCTAGACTACAAACTTAAAACACCATAGTTGTGTCAGCGTAGTAATACATCATGACGTCATCAAGGTGGTGGTTAGGTTTTGTGTTCCTCTGCTAATATTTTTAATTAGTTATATTTACTTAATTACAGAGTTAAAGTATTTCTATGTTTTACAGTTAGTGTTTAAGTTAATTTGTTAGTTTTCCCCCTCAGGTATATATGTGAGAGATAAATTAAGCAGAAACTTACAGAAATATGTTTATACTGTTAAATATGTACAGGTTGACAAGAGGAGACGACCTCCTGAGCCACTCTCTGCTGGTAATAACCCCACTTGATATTAAGGCCATCACCAGGCACCCATGACCGGAAATGCCATCCACTAGTGTCGAGGTTAATACCGGTATAACCCACATCCACCACACCTGCCTGTGTTACGTGGCGAGGACCAGGTGTGGTGGTGGAGCAGTGAGAGGGAAGTCACAGTGTCCTCGAAACTATGTCTATATACCAGGCTCGTGTGTGTGTGTGTGTGGGGGGGGGTGTGTGTGCGTGTTATATCACAAAACAACATACCTATAGTGAGGCCCCTCATAACACCATCTGTGAGGAGTTACCACACGATGTGTTTACCGTTCAACTCCTCAGCGCACATGACCTACGTGACCTCCACTGTAAACATTAATTTATATGTTCACTGTATGTCCCTTTACCTTTGTCTAACGAATGCCACCCCTCCCACATTATTATTATTATATACACCAACGTTTGCACACACACACATTAAGTTAATTTAAGCGGGTGTACTTCGCTGAGTGTGGACATAAGGAGATGGGGTACAGATGGGGAGAAGGGTGAAGGGGCGGGTGGGAGAAAACTACAGTGAGGGGGAGAAGATAGAGTCGGGTAGGGGAGAATATATCCGCTAAATGAAAGGTTACTCTGTGTGTGTGTGTGTGTGTGTGTGTGTGTGTGTGTGTCGCAATACAAACACACATTTTTTCGATGTTTAAATCCAAAGTTGTATTAAATCGCTTTGATATATGACACGTTGAAGGGCGTATTGTAGACTAATAAAAAATAAGCAAAAATACGTCTTTCCTGAGTTTATATATACAAACTAGTGGAAAAAATAAGATAAAATACATATTCTTGAGTTTATATATACAAATAAGTAGAAAAAATAAGGAAATACGTCTTTCCTGAGTGTATATATACAAACTATATAGCTTGTATATAGAGTATGAGTCAGGGAGGTTCACTGAGGATGGGTCGGTGTAGCAAAAACAGCAGGCACCCTCGGCACTATAACGAGGTACACACTGTAACACAATACACACACACACACACACACACATACACAGACACACACACACACACACACACACACACACACACACACAATACACACACACACACACACACACATACACAGACACACACACACACACACACACACACATCTGCCAACGTTTACTCTACAGTCTCTTGAGAACTACTGTAATGCTACGGAATTTATATCAAGTTTCCGAGAACTAATGTAATATGCTGGATAAATTAAAGGCATTTCTACATCATTAACTGAGTTGTATGAAACTTACACATGTTGGAATTAAATGTCAACAAGAACCACAATTTTTGAATGGGTGACGTCGAGTGTAAGCCGTTGTCGTGAACGTAACGCGTATATAAAAATAACTATATACGTACATGGGAATACTTACATGGGTTAGGGCTTCAGACTGTACGTTTGAGATTCAGAGAAGAGACAGGGAGAGAAGATAAATTAGAGGAAATAAGGAAATCGGTGATACCAATCTAACAGAAGAAAAAGGTCTTGTACACTACAGTAACACAAGTGTACACAATGTTTGTTTTGTCTCTGTATAATTTATATACTGTAACTTATTATCTTCTATTTCCTCTCATTTAATCTTATTCATTCACGTAAGTTAAGCCAAACTTGATAGATGCTAATAATTTTCACTGGAGGTTATTTAATTAAGTAACTACTGTACATTGTGTTTCTGTAAAACATTGATCTGTGTTCGTGTTGTTATGTTGCTGTTGTTGTAATGGTCAGATCACTAAACATGGTTCAGTAAGTCTTATTATAAACATCGTTAGTATTAGGTTGTGTTTACATCAACAGAACAATGTTGATAACGTGTTGGAAACCGTGTTTATACATAGACAATTGTTGGCAACACTGAAGGCAACAGTAATATGTTTCACGCAGTTGTTGGTAACACTGGTAGCAGGGCCAAGTCCAGGACCGTCAAAGGTGGGGTCCAAGAAGTTGTGGGCGGGGGAACATGGCGAGCACAGCGAGGAACACTGTAAGCCTCCTTATTTTTTTTTTATTTGACCAATATCATGGCCATTTTGAGGCCATGTGGATTTGATATTAGGAGATATTCTGAGGTCAATAGTAATTACTTTTTACTATACAATAAACGCCTGAGTACAACTGTGCATTAAAGAAAAAGTATTAGAATTGTCTGATGAAAAAGGAAGATCTGGACCCCCAGGACCCCCTGGATCCGCCCCTGGGTAGGCAACATGTTGGGAGCAGTGGGATGGACACCTGCCACAGGTGTGAGACAAACACACACATTAAGGAAGGTTGTGACGTGCTCCTCTGCCAACAGACTGTTCTTACTTCATTTGTTTCCAACATCGTTGGTTTATTTTACCCAGACTGTTGCCGACAGTATTGCCAACACTGTTGTCCAAGATGTTGATAATAATGTTCCCTATAATATTATGTTGGTGTGGACGGCTGGACGCTCCCTTAAATTTCTACACTAGATGGCAACTTTTTTTTATACATAAGGAAATAAATTCTTTCTGTTAAGAACATTTCCTGTATTGATGCTCCATTAAAAGTATTTAGTATAGCAAAAACACCTTATATTTATGAAGCATTTAACACTTAAGTACAGTAGAGTGAACACGACTTGCAATGTAAAAGAGTACTTAAGAAAGAGTTAGTTTAATAACAGTATATTAGGCACACTGTCACAGATTATTGACGTAATCTGAATACAACTTATATGTCAATATAATGTTTAGAGAAATACTAATATATACGACATTATTTAGGGCAGTATACAAGGCTTGACAAGAAAACCTTAGCCTTCTGAAACACCTAACTTAATTAAACAAATAAACAACAACAAACTTATTTATATAAACAAACCCGTAATACAATTCAGACGCTAGTAATCATATTCCAGTTGGTTATTTACTTCGCTTTAACTTCAGTACGAAATATTCCATCGGGTTTATGCACCTGAGAGAATATTTACGGTGAAGTTTAATCGAGTCAAGGTGAGAGTTGAAGGTTACGTCGTTGTTAATTAACCTATTACCTGATGAAGGCTTTAGTAAGGTCAAGTTAGGTCAAGTTAGGTTAGGTTAGGTGGTGATGTTGTTGGGAAATACTCAGGATGAAAGTTCAGCAGGTGAGGAGGACGGCCCGGGTGTTGCTGCTGGTCTGAAAGTTGTCAAGAGATTGTTGTGTTTTTTGGAGGAGTGTTTACAGAGTTCCTTGATGTTTGTGTTTACAGAGTCCCTTGATGTTTGTGTTTACAGAGTCCCTTGATGTTTGTGTTTACAGAGTCCCTTGATGTTTGTGTTTACAGAGTCCCTTGATGTTTGTGTTTACAGAGTCCCTTGATGTTTGTGTTTACAGAGCCCCTTGATGTTTGTGTTTACAGAGTCCCTTGATGTTTGTGTTTACAGAGCCCCTTGATGTTTGTGTTTACAGAGTCCCTTGATGTTTGTGTTTAAAGTCTCTATAAACACAAGCATCAAGGGACTTTGCATAAGACACTTTACTGTATATCTGGAAAGTCATATGTGTGTGTGTGTGTGTGTGTGTGTGTGTACCTGGTGATCTTACAATTAATATACGTACATATTGGCAGGCGATTCTTGTACTCACCTGTCAAATGCCTGACCAACGACACACCATAACAAGAGAAATAACACCACATATTTATTCTTCATTTTACCGTTTTAAAATTTTTTCACTTCTTTACACTGATAATCACAAAATTTTCCTCCTCATTAACACAAGCTTCCCTCAAGATGGTGTAAGACTCGACCAGTACAACCTCCTCTCACCACACTCCAGGCTACACTGACTCGTAAATTTAACTTGTTTCTTGTAAGACTACGCTCGGGTTACCAGATTCGCAATTTGTATCCATGCGTGCAACTGGTTTTTACAGAGAAACTGGTTTATTTCGTAAACTCTTTAATTAAATTCAGTAGGCGTTTTAATGCAACAATTATTTAGGTGAGTTTATTAGGTAAATATACGGAGGAGAGAGAATAATTTATATGTTTATTGCAATATATTAGTGCTTGTTCCGTATTGATAAACAGTTTAGTTTGTATTTCATCCTTTCTAAATTTATGAAAGTTTGTTGGTCCACCCTGTATAGCTTATTATTGTGAAAGCAATAAATTTCACTCGTAAAAACTACATTTCCTGCAAGACTAAGATTTATTTACTTTTTAATAGGGTTGGGTTGCCATGTAGTATTTTTTAATATAAATTCTACTTTCACACTGGTGCCATATTACACAGAGTAAATTAAGACTGCCATGGATAGGTGAGGTCAGGGGGTCACGGTAATATATTATAAGTACCTCTTGACCTAGTTTACGGCCTTGTGGTGTAAACTGTGTAAGCGAGCGTGTGTAAGCGATACCTATGTAGCATTCAGCTCTCTCAAGGCGCGTACATTAAAATTCCCTCGTAAATTAAAGAAACAAGATATGCAAGCGAATCAAATTTTACGATAAAAAATGACCTAATAATAACAAATAAAAGTTTATAATTAACTAGATACGTTCATTTAGGGTTAATTTAAGTTAATTAATGTATTTTTAACTTCGGCATGGCGCTTGGGAGTTGGGTGACGGACGCGGTACCATGATAAACAATGTATTACTATTCTTCAACAATTATTAAATTCTTTTCTTTCTTAATTATAACACCAAAACAAGAATTATAACCAAAAAATACGAAAATAAATACATATTGGTTATTGTTATAAAATAGTATTACTGCGCCTTAACAAGTGGAGTAACTTAGGAAAATATTAAAAGTTGATTGAATAAGACGCCCTGAACCACTTAACCCAGGACAAGTGGGTAGTGATGAATGGCGAGGTTTATAGTAGTAAAAATAAACACGCGAGGACTGAATGTCGTGTGTGTGTGTGTGTGTGTGTGGATTATTATTAATGTACTATCTCACTGCGGACTCATTCATATAACACCAACACACAATTACAACATCAACAACTAAAAAAAAAATCTTTCACAACAAATACAATAACAACGACTGCAAATACAATACTAACAACAACAACCACAACAACAACAGGAACACCAACCACCACAACCACTACGACACCGGAAGTATAAGCTACAAGTCTACAAGTTTTTTTCTACATCATACAGGTAAGTTCAAAACGGCCTCACTACCTCCCTACAACACTACCCCAACACATCCTCATTCTCACCCATTGAAAAAAGCAACAACATCTATCAGTCAGGTCACGAGAGACGAACACTGACCTGGTGTCGGGTGGAAGAGGGGGGGTGTGAAGGAGGGGGAAGAGGTGAAGGAGGTGGAAGAGGTGGAGGAGGTTCAGTTTACAGGGTTGGATAGAAATTTTTACTTAGAAATTGTAAAAATAAAGTAAAATAAACAAAAAATCTGAAATTGCCCTTATCTTTCTTCTTCTTCCCCCCCTTCTCATTCCTTACTTCTTTCTCCTACTCCTGTTCCTCCTCCATTTTCTCCTCTTACTCCTCCTTTCCATCTCGTTTTTCTTCTCCTCCTCCCTCTTCCGCTTCCTCCTCCTCCTCCGCCTCCTATGTCAGGAGTTTTATAATCCAGCCTAGGAAGTAATTTAGGTTCCTGAAGGCTGGGGGGGGGTGGAGGAGGGGCGAGGGGGTGCAGTAGGAGGAGGGGCGATGGGGTGGAGTAGGAGGAGGGGCGAGGGGGTGCAGTAGGAGGAGGGGCGAGGGGGTGGAGTAGGTGGAGGGATGGAGACAGGGTGGAAAAGGGGAGGGTGGTGAAGTAGGGAGGGGGAAGGTGGAGGAGGGGGGAGGTGGATGAAGGGTGGGGTAGGAGGGGTAGTGCAGGGGAGGGCAGGGTATCACTCCCTGTAGGACCTTGTGTTGTAAGAAATACCTCAAAGTACAGGTAATAAGACGTCATTTGCCTCTGTCTACTGTGAAGACTACCTGAGGACTAATGTTAACCTAACCCAACCTAACCTACCCTACCATAACCTAACCCAACCCAACCTAACAATAACTGAGAATTCCAATAACAGTCGATTAGTCACTGTGGTTGGCTAATTGTCCGGTCTCCCTGGGCTACACTCCTTCACACCCAGGGTTCATACACCCCAATAAAGATAAGCCAGTGTGGTTGGCAAGTTGTCCGGTCTTCCTGGATCATACACCTCGCTAACTCAGGCTGTGGGTGTCGTGTTGATGACTCCAGCCTCTACGTGTGGGTTTTAAGGAGCTGCCCACCGCAAGACACTCGACGGAGCCATTAACACCTTTATGTCGCTATAACACAAGATAAAATATTAAATAAATGACGAATTTTATATAAGAGGAACAATCAGTATAATGACGTCATTCCAAAACACCAGTTATACATGTTCATCTCAGGCTGAGTTTTGATTGGCTCTCCGAATGTTTACTGATTTAAGTCTGTTTTCCTATTGGTTGATGAGTAGATCTTTCGCCTACTACATATGTACAGTACGATACAGAAGCAGAGAGAGAGAGAGAGAGAGAGAGAGAGAGAGAGAGAGAGAGAGAGAGAGAGAGAGAGCATTGTTTGTATACCTGCAGTGTCTCAGTACATTGTGTTTATAATTTCTGTCTATCTATCTATCTATCTATGTCTGTCTGTCTAAGTTCGACACATGAAGTCGTAATCCAGCAATATGGAGGGCCCCGGGGAGTCACGCATGCCCAACTGAAGGACAACACAACACACACCTCTTCCTCCTCCTCCGTCCTCCCACGGGGAGAGTGAGTCAGTCACCAGATGGCCGGAGGCGAGGTGACTCACTTTGAAGACCAAAAAACAATGGCATTATGTACGTACGTGTGTGTGTGTGTGTGTGTGTGTGTGTGTGTGTGTGTGTGTGTGTGACCGTAAAAATTTATTTCTCAAGTTTTGTAAAACAACATCAGTGACCAAGGCTTGTTTATTGGTTGTTTTGTGTTACTTGGATAAACAAAATGTCCTTCACCTGTAAACATAATCGGTAGATCAATTGAGGCGGACAGTTAAAATAAATGTCCCCCCCCCAAAAAAAAATAATATAAAATAAAATAAATAAATAAAATGACTTGATAAGCGACACTCTACTGTATATATTTCCTTGAGGTCTTAACTCTCTGTATACTGTTGAGCGAACAAGAACTACACTGACTCTCCACGCTGTGTCTGGTGCCTTCAGGAGGATGACATCGACTGTGGCCACGGCAGCAGTGTACCTGTTGGTGGCGACTGGTCCCGGGTCAGGTGTCTAAGCCTTCCACATGTTAGTTGCCAAAAGTTCCACTTATTTATCAACATTGTCTTCTGTGTTATAGTTTTGTAAGTAAACTGGAGGGTACAGTACATTCCAGGGCCGTCTAGGTAATGTAAACGACCTTCTTATAAGACCTGCTATTTTATTTGCTTGATTCACCTTCTCACAATGGTCCGAGAACTTCAGTTTGGGGTCAACATACACACACAGGTCATTTTCACATTTGGTCTCAGTTAATATTGTTTCTTCATCCCGTTGGGCCATGTGATACGTCTCCTTACTGTTGGTAGTGTATGTATGTATGTATGTATGTATGTATGTATGTATGTATGTATGCATGTATGTATGTGTATGTGTCAGTTTGTAAGAGTATGCATGTTCATGTTTAAGTATATTTGTATAAAAGGAACATAAACTTTTGAATATTACTAAATTATGGCTGAAATAATTTACATTTTCTTCTACTTAAGTTCATAGAAAACGTCCTCATTTACATGGGTAACTTTAATAATATTTTTCAGCTGCAGCAACTCCCTACTGGGCGTACTCGGTCACTAACACTCACGTTTCTCTCTTCCTTGTTCCTTCGTCAATAAGTTTCCGACATTAACACTTCTCGGCGAACAACTTCAGACACTTAACACATTTCAGCAAAAACTTTCAGACATTAGCACATTTCAGCGAACAACTTCAGGCACTTAACACATTTCAGCGAAAGATTTTAGTATACATGAATAATTTCATCCATATATAGAGCCTGTACGTCATCTCAACTAACATTACTAGGAGTTGGTTATTTTTGACAATATACCCGAGTTTTGGTGAGGGAGGAGGAGGAGGCTGTCAAACTGGTGATGGATTACAAGATGAATCACCAAGACAAGAAGTACCTGTTGCTGGTCGCCAAGAGGAAGCTGAGGATGGTGGGGAGACAGGGTGCTCGGGGATCGAACCAGTGACCCATATGATAAGAGTTCAGTTTCAGTACTATATCCACTCAGCCAGAGCAGATGTTTGATTCAATAAACTCAGCGGGAATAAGTAAGTTTTCTCTCCTCGCTAATGACCGACGAAGTGGCTGTAAGATTTATTCATAAAGTAATTAGATGAGAGAGAGAGAGAGAGAGAGAGAGAGAGAGAGAGAGAGAGAGGAGGGGGGAGTTTACAACTCAAGTCGCCTCTTTCTTCACAAGCGTAAACCGAGTCAGCTTGAAGGGAAGGAAGGAAGGTAAGTAGGCATACCGCTACCAACTATGGCTGGCATCTTCGCCCTGGGTAAGGTGTGTATGCCATGTATGCCTCATAACCTGTGGTGTTATGGTCAGCATGCTCACCTCGCAACCGAGTGGACCCGAGTTCGATCCCCGGGCAGGGTGAAACTATGGGCAAGTTTCTTTACGCCATTTGCCTCTGTCTACCCTGCAGTAAATGGGAACCTGGATGTTAATCGATTTGCTGATCGTGTTCCGGGGTAATGGTTAGCCAGTGCAGTTGGCGAGTTGTCCGGTCTTCTCGGGTTATTCCTTGACACTGGGTCATGCAGCTCGTTAACTCAGGGTGTGGTTGTTGTGTTGGCGACAGCTTCTACACCTTAAACAAATTCACGCCTAGGTGACCCTTGGGCCGGCCATCCTCGTACACGAGGGGCATCTATTATAACACAGTACGTAGCCAAAAGAACATGTCTGGTATCTTCTCCTGACAGAGCTTCAGCGTTACATATGTTGACGTCACAAATGTGTTGTGGTGTACGTGCAATCACATATGTCATGAGGAGGTACCAAACATGTCCTTTTGGCTACGTACCGTGTTATGAAGAAGTCCTAGACATACACTAGGGATTGTTTTTATATATTTTCCTCAACCTAACCTAAGATCAGCTTACCTAAATTAAAGTGCCATAACCTAACCTATGTTTCCCCAGTGATAGTGGTTTAAGGTCCCATAAAACACTGCCACCACCACCCACCTACCACCGCCACCCTCACCACCCACCACCACCCCACCACTCACCCACCACAACCCTTACAATCACCACCCACCTACTACCGCCACCATCACCACAACCCTCACCACCACCACCACCACCACCACCCACCACAACCCTTACCATCACCACAACCCTTACCATCACCACTCACCAGAACCCTCACCACCACCACCACCCACAATATGACACCAAACACTACCATTAATTCTAGACAGCGTAAGACCCGGCCCTCTGTGACAGCTCCGGAGATCAAGTCACGCCACATAAACACTGTCATAAACACAAGAAAATGCCGACCTGGGCTGACCCTCCCTTACCAGCGATCAGTTATTGTCACATAAAACTCTTCCTGTCCGCTGAGGGACGCGCCCGTGTGTGTGTGTGTGTGTGTGTGTGTGTGTGTGTGTATAGTTCCACCATCTACTGTAGATATACCACTCTGTTAGTTCAGAAAAGGAGGACTTAACACAACACTACGCAACACAACACAACACAATATTAAAAGTTAACTCGTACAGCCAGGCCAGATACAGAAAGCAATATGAACAACACACATTAACAACACAACCGAGACGACTTGTGTTGAAGCTTTGTGGATAAAACAGAAAAATCTCATCTTCCTTCGCCAATAATACTAACTTCTGTTTTGTTTTAATGTTTCCTCCTACGGTAGTTCAGTGTGGGTGTGGGTGTGTATGTGTATGTATGTATGTGTGTGTGTGTGTGTGTGTGTGTGTGTGTGTGTGTGTGTGTGTCGCTACATGGTAATAATTGTGATATTGTAATAAATTTTTATGCATTTCTTTTCAATAACACAGACTGGTGTGTGTTTATAGAGAAGAGTTGTCCTTGTATAAAGTCAAACTACAGTCTATAAATGAATAGTAGTAGTAGTTATTGTAGTAGTCGGAGCAGCAGTACAGTATTAGTAGTTGGTGTTCACAACCTCTGGCGAGATGGAACCAAGTGCAAAATGTTATCCGAACAGAAGCAGCAGCCCAGAAGTTATGTTACAGCCTGGATGAGATGTCGACTGTCCTTCTCTCTCCTTAGGTCGGCTTTGCTCTGCCTCAGGGGAACGAGAGCATCGGCCCCAAAGCCGACAACAGTTGCAGATATTGACTATGAGGCAACAGTCACTGAATGCCGCACAGCTAGGATAGCGACTTATGTATTAGGATATTTAATGTTAAGGTAATAAAATGGCGGCGAAGGTGTGGCTATTGGGGGAAGGACAGCGGCGGCGGCAGCAGCTATAGGCAAGAATAGTAATGAATGGCAATAGACGCATCAGCTCCCTCACCAGCTGGTAGTGTGAATACCCTGACGACGACAACAACATCAACAACATCAACATCATCATCATCATCATCATCATCATCGGAAACCTACAACGTAATTTTCTCTTTTATTTCCCCATTGTGGATCTAAAGGGCAAGATAGTGCTACAACACCATAATAATCGTCAAGACAATGCTATACTGTTATAACACCTTAGTAGGAAGATAGAAAGTATATTTTTCCCCGTTAACATATCTCACGTTCCAACAATGTAAACTTTCTTAAAAAAATACAACTAATGTACTGAAATTATTCTTCCACGCAGGATTAAACCAATCACCTTTTACCATAATTAAATACAGACTCTATGATCCCAGTTCATCACGATACGATTGCATTATTGCCAAAACAACAACAACAAAATCAGCCCGTTGTGTTTTGAAATATTGGATAAATTTACATACATTGCAATCATGATTCTTTGCAATATCAATCACTTATTTTTATATATTTTCCGTACAGGGTCATTATTCTGGTCATGTGTGTGTGTGTGTGTGTGTGTGTGTGTGTTAGGCAGTCAGTCAGATATATATATATATTGCTGTTAAGAAATATTATGTAATATTTTATCAGTCTTATATTTAAAATAACATTCTCTCTCTCTCTCTCTCTCAACCTATTTCACTTACAATACCTTAACAATGTATGGAGAGAGAGAGAGAGAGATATGGCAATATTTTACTCTAATTCTCTTGTTTATATTTTTGTATCTAACTTCAGGGGAAAAACTAAATATTCCCAACCGACAAAAAAATTAGGGAAAATATAGGTAAAAAAAAGGAGACATATCCAAGGCTTAAAAAATAGTATCAGGAAAATACATTATCTAGTTAAGTGGATAATTTATAAACTTTTTTAATAAATATTTTTTTTTTACTTTTTATTAATTTGTTGGGTTAAAAATAGTGTTCCTGGTCTTGACATACACACTTGAGGGCATAAAAAAGATTAATTACTTCTGTTGAGGGAAAACCTCCCCAACACAAGAGCCTCCCACATTCTCCAACACAAAAAGCCTCCCACATTCTCCAACACAAGAGCCTCCAACATTCTCCAACACAAAAAGCCTCCCACGTTCTCCAACACATGAAGCCTCCAACGCCCTCCCTACCAAGAGTTCCCCAACACACCCCACCAACACTACACCCACATCTCTCCCCAATTAAGAGACCTCCCACACCCCCAACAGAAGACCCCATCTCTCCCCTATTTAGACCCCAACACAAGACCCCCATCTCTCCCTAATTAAGAGACCCCCACCCCCAACCCCCTTTAAAAAAACGGCTAATTAATGCCCAAAACACAAAAAATACGTAGATGAAAGAAGAAGAAAACAACACAAAATAAGGAAAAATAAGTGAAATATTTTTTTTTAAATTTTTTAAGACAATTATGATAATACGTTTGGCGTCACTTCACAGCTGGGTCGACTTGGGGGGACCTGGAAGTGAATTATTCTCTTCCCTCACAACTAATTATCCTCCCTCACACCTAATTAACCTCCCTCACGCCTCATTATCCTCACTCGACACATTGTACTCAACCTGACGCATTGTACTCAACACAACGCATCTTACTCAACGTGACGCATTGTACTCAACCTGATGCATTGTACTCAACCTTCCATATCGTATTTAACCTCCCGCATCGTACTCAACCTAACGCATTGTACTCAACCTGACGCGTCGTACTGGAGGGACAAGTGACCTAATATTGTCTTCTTTTACCTGATTTTTAATTGAATTTTGACGGTCGTTAGAGGACGGAACTTAACGCTTCTCCAATTAACATTTAATTCTGTCACCTGCCCATCACCCCCCCCCCCCCAACCCCCAGAGGATTAGAGACAGATTTTGGCGGGAGATGAGGATTAGAGACAGATTTTGATGTAATGTGGTGAATTAGAGACAGATTTTGGCAGAATAAACGGGATTAGAGACAGATTTAAGTGTAATATATCGTTTAATGACAGACTTTGAAGTCATGTGGTAGATTACAGGCAAACTTCGGTAGGAAATTGTGGTCTAAAATCAGATAGGAGAGAGAGAGAGAGACCTTCACTACGGAATGGCCAATAATTCAGACACCTAACGCTATATAACTGTACGAGTAAGTAATCCAATTTGCATAATCTTGTCTTTATGAAAAAAATAAATACTCCCGTACTCCCACTGGAAGCTTTTGGCAACACCTACACGGTCGTTAAGTTACCAGTTAGTGTTGAGCTGTGGGTCTGTTGTGTTGAGCTGTGGGTCTGTTATATTGGCTGTGGGTCTGTGTTGGCTGTGGGTCTGTTGTGTTGAGCTGTGGGTCTGTTGTGTTGGCTGTGGGTCTGTTGTGTTGAGCTGTGGGTCTGTTGTGTTGGCTGTGGGTCTGGGTGTGTTGAGCTGTGGGTCTGTTGTGTTGTCTGTGGGTCTTTTGTGTTGAGCTGTGGGTCTGTTGTGTTGGCTGTGGGTCTTTTGTGTTGAGCTGTGGGTCTGCTGTGTTGAGCTATGGGTCTGTTGTGTTGAGCTGTGGGTCTGTTGTGTTGAGCTGTGGGTCTTGTGTTGAGCTGTGGGTCTGTTGTGTGAGCTGTTGAGCTGTGGGTCTGTTGTATTGAGCTGTGGGTCTGTTGCTTGGAGCTGTGGGTCTGCTGTGTTGAGCTATGGGTCTGTTGTGTTGAGCTGTGGGTCTGTTGTGTTGAGCTGTGGGTCTGTTGTGTTGAGCTGTGGGTCTGTTGTATTGAGCTGTGGGTCTGTTGTGTTGAGCTGTGGGTCTGTTGTGTTGAGCTGTGGGTCTGCTGTGTTGAGCTAGTGGGTCTGTTGTGTTGAGCTGTGGGTCTGTTGTGTTGAGCTGTGGGTCTGTTGTGTTGAGCTGTGGGTCTGTTGTGTTGAGCTGTGGGTCTGTTGTGTTGGCTGTGGGTCTGTTGTGTTGGCTGCTGTGTTGACAAGCGGCAAGATATATTGTACTATGAACCCTTGAGAGATATTTCCACAATATCCATATTTTGTTTCAGTATATTTACTCATTTATCTCAATACATCACATAAACTGGACACAAAATGAACCCATATATTATTCCTCTCACTCGTTATGTACAAAATTGTCAAACAAATGGCAAAAAATATAATAAAAAACGATACGGTTCTATGTTAGGTTTCAAATACTAGATGGCGCTGAACTGTCACATTATCCGTTGTTTACTGTTAAAAAACATAAATTTATGCATAATAGTTGATTTACGAGAATATTAATGTAAAATAAGATATTATCATGAAAATTAGAGTAGTGTTACCGTAGTAATGATTCTTAATATAAAAATTTTGCCTTTGTTTTTTTTTTCATAAGTTATTGTTAAAAAAAATTTCCACTTAATGTCAAAATCCGTTTTTTATGAGAGGTGCGTAGAGGACTCTCACCTCTTCCTCAATGGTTCAACAAACGTGGAAAAAATTGAAGTCTTTGAAGCGCTTGAGTACGACATACACTCGATAAACTGACGAACACTCAGAGTCTATTTTTGGATACGTTCATTGTTACCAGTGGAGGTGAACATAAGGACAAGCGTCACTATACCTTGTTGAGGCTGTAGTGGTGATACGTGGCCAGCATGTTCCTTAGTGATACTTGGCCAGCACTAGTGTTACGTGGCCAACATGTCTCTTATCCTTACTGTTACGTGGCCAGCACCTCACGTATCCCAGCACAATAAATATTTATAAATATGTTGTTAAAATGTTTTTGTTCAAGTCTCCCTCACAGTAAGTCGTATCCATCAGGTGTAGCAGAACACAGTCAGTCAGTCGAGCACCCACTCACTCACACAGACCTTCATGTACTGATCCATACACACAGGACCTCATCACCTGACACACGGCGCCGGGGTGAACTACTGAACTACACCATTACACTTGTTGACGCGCTAACTGCTGCTTATTACTCTCGCCAGATGTGTCAAGAAAATTGTATTTTTCTTTTATTTTGCATCTACGTCTTGTGATGTTTTATGATGTTGTGTGTGTGTGTGTGTGTGTGTGTCCTACATAATGGCATCCAGCTTATGAGACATGGGTCACATACAGGAGGCACCTCAAGGCACTTGAAAACTTTTACCAACGTAGTCTACGTTCCATCCTCCGAGTTCGCTGGGAAGACAAGAGAAAAAATGCCAGTATTCTTGCTGACACCAACTGTAGGAGCATCGAGGCTACCATTATCCATGAACAACTACGCTGGACTGGCCATGTTACCCGCATGGACGACAGTAGACTGTCAAAGCAGCTACTTTACAGTCACCTAACGAATAGTAAACGTAACGCCGGCGGGCAACTGAAAAGGTGTAAGGATAGTCTTAAGACAAACCTGAAAAAGTGCCAAATCGACCCCCTCACCTGGGAGACGATTACTCCACACTCATATCATCCTGTCAGCCGTGGATCATCGTCATACTAGATTCCGAGTGACACAAGAAAATTCCTTTATTTCATTGGACTGACCATATATCAATAATTTTATACTTTAATATCTGCTAATATTATACAATACATACCATAGAGGATTAATATACGTTTATAACTATACATTTTCATAACTTTCATGAATATATTAATGTGTAATATGTTCCTATATCTTTTATCATCAAGGGTTATCGTCACTCTCCTTCAGAAAACTCCGTAAAAAAAAACAATTAAAAAACTAATCAAGATATTATATTTTTCCCCAGGTGTTTGTGTTTACCTTGAGTCTGGGGTTAAGAAAACGAGCGGTAGATGGAGGGGCTACCTACTTATTTATTAAAATCCTCATCCGTAAACTAAACACACAAAGGGTTATCTCAGACGACACTCATATAAACAATCATTTATTTATCTCCTTTCCTCTCTTTTTTTCTTATTTCATTGTTATTTATTATATATATATTTTTTTACATTATCTATTAATAATATTTTTCACCCTATCAATCAGTAGCATTTCATCCATCTTTATCTTTATGACCAATCAGACTCGTGGATCTGGCTCATAAGATTGATGCTAACCAAGGAGAATATATCATTTATAAATCCTGTATTCCTATTGGTCAAGAACATGAGAGGATATAACCTACCCATATATTTCACAAGTGTTTGATGTCAACCAATCAATAGGCTGCATATAGCCCCTTTCGGTCGTTCTTGGCCAATCAGCGATGTAGATCTGGTTCCTTCTGGGACTGTGGGAAGCGAAAATACTAACCAATGAGAAGAGTGAATTCCTCGGTGCTGAGTCCTTCTTGGGTAATCAGCGGCATGAGTTTGATTCAATGGCCAAGGTTAGGAGAGGGTGAGGGAGGGCCACAGGAGGGCCATGAGGATGATGGGTGACGTGGGTGGCCATGGGCGGTGGGTGTGGGCGGCGCTGTACCCACCCAACTGTACTGCCGCCTGTCGCTCGTCTGAAAGCGATGATAAAAAAAGAAAACACCAATGTACAAAATTTGAGTTAAAATTCATTTACAAACTGAAAGGACGGCCAGTAAAAATAGTGACAATATAGAACAATGGAGAAAAGGCTGAAAAATATCCTTGATTTAAAAGTTTAAACGCTAAAATCTGTTAAAATCTGTTAAAAAGGGTAACGGTCAAAATTCAAATACAAATTCAAACAGTGACGTTCAAAAGTGAGTGGGATATTGTAGAAGTGACAGCTCTAAAAGTCGGTTACGGCCTGATACAATAACTGTTATTATTTTTAAACCCTAACAGTTAAAAGTCCATCACAAATTGAAACAGCGTCTGTGACAATTCAGTTACACAGTTCAAGCTTTGACAGTTGAACGCAGGTTAGAGCTTTGAATTCAAATTTTCAAACATAGCGGATTTCTTCAACACACTACAGTGACTAGAAGATTAAACGAGGCATTTACAACACGATTAATGTGACGTAATCTGGTGTAGTTAGATAAAGAGAGACAGACAGACATAGAGAGAGACGCAAAAACCCCACAAAAGAGATTAGTCAGCCTTGATAAGACTTCACCATCCATTTTCTATTATACATAAAGGAGTCCAAGCATTGAGATAGACACATCTATGGCTTTATGGGGCTGGAGGGGCTAGGGAGGGGCTAGGGGGCTGGGGAGCTAGGGTAATCTTAGGGGCTCTCTGTTTACATCTAGTCTGGGGACTGAATCAACGACCCTGGAACAATAACCTAGTGCTGTGTACCACTCGACCACAAGGCACAATAAAACAGTTGAATGGTAAATATGTAGGAATATTTTTTGTACCGTGGGTGTGTGTGTGTGTGTGTGTGCAGAATACATTAATAGTGTGGGTATGTATATCCATGAGGCGATGTTGTTTCTATGTATACAGGAGACGATAACTGCATGTATACTTAGAATAAATAGAACAACATTTAATAGGTGTTATACAGGTGTTGTGAAGGTGTTGTAAAGGTGTTATACAGGTGTTGTGAAGGTGTTGTAAAGGTGTTATACAGGTGTTGTACAGGTGTTATACAGGTGTTATACAGGTGTTGTGAAGGTGTTGTAGGGTTGTAAATATTAAAGCACTATATACTGTGGACACGTCGCCCCTACACCCCAGATAACTACAGTTTTATGAGGCATTCCTTAGTGTGTGTGTGTGTGTGTGTGTGTGACAGAGAGACAGACAGACAAACAGAAATACGCACATACACACATAAAGGGAAAGAAAGAAAGAGATACACAATAGATACAGAGGAGAGAGAGAGAGAGAGAGAGAGAGAGAGAGAGAGAGAGAGAGAGAGAGAGAGAGAGAGAGAGAGAGAGAGAGAGAGAGAGAGAGAGAGAGAGAGAGAGAGAGAGAGAGAGAGAGAGAGAGAGAGAGAGAGAGAGAGAGAGAGAGAGAGAGAGAGAGAGAGAGAGAGAGAGAGAGAGAGAGAGAGAGAGAGAGAGAGAGAGAGAGAGAGAGAGAGACATCATTCTCTCTCCCCCCTTGTATGTAATAGTTCCGTTGTGTTTGTACAGTAGAGTGTGTACACAAGGTCCCTGTTTCTGTGCATGTGTTGTGTGTGTGTAAATAACATATAATACATACATACATACTTACACGCATTAATACATACATACATACATATATACTTACACGCATACATACTTACACGCATACATACATACTGTACATACACACATACATACATACATACAAATCTTTATGTCACGCTTAAAGGTGCAGAATTACACTTACAACGCCTATAAGCTTCATAGACCCAATTACAGCGCCACTACACCAACATACACCAACATACACCAACATACACCAACACACGACAACCTATACTACCGCTACACCCATACATCACCCACCTACATTACCAGTACACCCAAATACATTCATCAACACCCACGTATGATTCCCTACACCCACACAGACCATCCACACCCCCCTCCTACACCCACACAGACACACACACCCTACACACACCTCCCACACCACACACCCATACACACACCTCTTACACACACACACACACACACCTCCTGCACACACACACACACCCTCCTACACCACACACACACACACACCTCCTACACCCACACACACCCTTCTACACCCACACACACACACACACACACCCTCCTACACCACACACACACCCTTCTACACCCACTCCACACACACCTCCTACACACACACACACCCTCCACACCCACACACACACACACCCCTCTACACCCACCCACACACACCCTCCTACACACCACACACCCTCCCACACCCACACACACACCCTCCTACACCCACACACACCCTTCCACACCCACACACACACCCCTCCCACCCCACACACACACCTCCTACACCCACACACACCCTCCTACACCCACACACACCCTTCTACACCCAGCTACACCCACCCGTAGTGACGTGGACGGACACAGAAGCAGGTGGAGCGTTGATGGGAGTACAGGTGTAGTTCCCGGAGTCAGTCGTTCTTACTGTTGATAGCAGGAGCCGGGAGGTGGTCTGATCTGTCGTCTTCTCTATCTGTGAGGGAGAGTGAGGGAGAGTGAGGGAGGGTTGCTGGAGGTGAGGGAGAGAGAGAGAGAGAGAGAGAGAGAGAGAGAGAGAGAGAGAGATCTCCCCCTCTCTCTCTCTTTCTCTCAATTAAAAAAACATTAAAAAACAAACACTATATTGTACATCATTTAAGTAAACACTACAAAATCAACAATAAGTAACTCAAACACTTATAATAACACACACACACACACTTAAGTAACTGTCACGGTCTCGTTTATAAGTGTTAAAAGTTACTACCGACACCTCACTAACTTTATAACAGGTGAAGTATTTTTTTTGGAGGGGGGGGGTCTGTGTTTTACTGTCTCTCTGTCTGTCTGTTTGTCTGTCTATCTCTATATGTTTGTCTGTCTGTCTATCTGTCTGTCAGTATATGTTTGTCTATTTGTCTATCTATCTGTCTGACTACCTATCTATCTATCTGTCTATATGTCTACACATACCATTTTCCTTCCGTCAAGATTATCTCCCATAACTACCATCCAGAGCCATAACACTACCATACAACCATACCACCACGCTACCATACCACCACACAACCACACTACCATACAACCATACCACCACACAACCACACTACACTACCACACAACCACACAACCACACTACCATACCACCACACTACCACACTACCTACCATAATAGCGATACCACCCCTGGGAGAGTCGTAGTCCAGCCTGGTATTGTAGTGGTACCATAAGAGAGCCGGTGGTGGGTGGGAGGTATAAGTCACCACACACTCCAGTACCAAGGAGGAGCCGGCCTGGAGATACCTGGATTCAGTTCCTAAAATCCTCGTGCCGTATTCTCCTGTGTGTGGAGGGGAGGTGGGGGGATGGAGGTGGGGTTGGGAAGGAGGTGGTAAGGGGGGGTGGAGGTGGGGTTGGGGAAGGAGGTGGGTGGTGGGGTGGGTGGGGGTTGGGAAGGAAGTGGGTGGTGGGGGGGGTGGAGGTGGGGTTGGGAAGGAGGTGGGTGGTGGGGGAGGTGACGTAGAAGAGACGTGGCAGGTGACGCAGCAGGTGACGCAGCAGGTGACGCAGGAAATGACGCAGCAGATGACGCAGTAGATGACAGACGAGATAAGAGAATAATATGGCTGTTATATAAGCAGGTGATTATTAGAGTGATATATAAGACATTATATGGAGTCTAGTGAAGAATGATATGAAATTATATAACACCAGCGGGAGGTAGAGGAGGCCAGAGGGTCATAAGATAACCTGACCTGACCTGACCTGACTTAACCTAAATTAATCTAACCTAACCTGACCTAAATTAACCTAACCTAACCTAACTTAGCCTAATGAAAATTATTCTAACCTGACCTAACCCAAATTAACCTAACCTGACCTAACCAAAATTAATCTAACCTAATCTAACCTAACTCAGCCTAACGAAAATGAATCTAATCTAACTTAACCTAACTTAATCTAGCCTAAATTAATTTAACCTAACCTAACCAAAATTATTCTAACCTAACCTGACCTAACTTAACCGAACCTAACCAAAATGAATAGATATATAGAAATACAGACAGACAGACAGAGACAGAAAACAGAAAGACAAACAGACAGACAGACAAACAAGCATACAGATACACAGACAGACAGACAGACAGACAGACAGACAGACAGACAGACAGACAGACAGACAGACATAGAGACGTAAAACAAAGGGTCCTCTGCGACGCACAGAATATATATGAGATATATATATATATATATATAAAATTTATATCACGGACAAGAACCCAATATAAGGAGATATATCCTGACCTCATCCTCTACCGCAGGATAGTTAAGGCTAGGCAGGATAGTCAAGGCTGGTCATGATAGTTAAGGATAGACAGGATATTTAAGGATGGTCAGGATAGTCAAGGCTAGGCAGGATAATCATTGTTAGGCAGGATAGTCAAGGATGGTCATGATGGTCAAGGCTAGGCAGGATAGTCAAGGCTAGGCAGGATAGTCAAGGCTAGGCAGGATAATCATTGTTAGGCAGGATAGTCAAGGCTAGGCAGGATAATCACGGCTAGGCAGGATAGTCAAGGATGGTCATGATGGTCAAGGCTAGGCAGGATAGTCAAGGCTGGTCATGATAGTTAAGGATAGACAGGATATTTAAGGATGGTCAGGATAGTCAAGGCTAGGCAGGATAATCATTGTTAGGCAGGATAGTCAAGGATGGTCATGATGGTCAAGGCTAGGCAGGATAGTCAAGGCTAGGCAGGATAGTCAAGGCTGGGGCTCATTAGGACAGGTGTATGCCAAGCTATATAGCGTATACTCCTATGTAACTATATATACAAACGCTTATACTAGTGACTAACATACACACAGACACAGACAGACACACAGACAGACATAGAGACAGACAGACAGAGAGACAGACAGACAAATATAAACACAAAAAACAGACAAACAGAAATATACAAAAATACAAACAAACAGGCAAATAAAACAGACAGACAGACAGATAGACAGACTCACCTTGGTCGGGGTCTGACGGAGGCACCTTGTACATGTGATGATCCAGCCGATGTTTATCTGTGAGAGAGAGAGAGAGAGAGAGAGAGAGAGAGGAGGTATATTATACAAAACACGACACAGGTTATGGCTCTTCATCTATTCCCCCGCCTCCCTCACTCCCTACCTCCCCTATCCCCACCTCCACTGTTCGCTTTACAACTCTCATCATCATTTATATCTTCCCTCGCCTCACCTGCCTCCTCTCTCTCTCTCTCTTCTCTCTCTCTTCTCTCTCTCTCTCTCTTCTCTCATACTTTGCCCTGGTTTCAACATCATTTATATTCAATAAGAAAACCAGCTATTTCTACAGTGTGTCATCAAGTTCTCTCTCTCTCTCTCTCTCTCTCTCCTCCTCAAACTTCACCCATTCTGTATGTCTCGCCCTTGTATCACCACACCCGTTACACTATTAAACAAACAGAGGTGAGATATGGCACCACCCCCCAGGTCATACCGTCAACCAGTCACTCAACGCTACCAGTAATTGTTTCCAGACAGAGGAATAAAGTTTGATTGTCCTGAAGCAAAGTTATGGATACCTATCACACACACACACACACACTACTACTACTACTACTACTACTACGTGGCCTCCAGCCTCCCCCAATAGCCACACCTTCGCCACCATTTATTTACCTTAATATTAACTATCCTAATACATAAGCAACTATCCTATCTGTGTTAAATTAGTTGAGCCGCAGATCGATGCGGCATTCGGTGACTGTAGCCTCATAGTCGATATCTGCAGCAGTTGACGGAGTAGGGGCAGAAGCTCTCGTTCCCCTGAGGCAGAGCAAAGCCGACCGAAGGAGAGAGAAGGACAGTCGACATCTCATCCAGGCTGTGACATAACTTCTGGGCTGCTGCTTCTGTTCGGAGATCAGCTCCGCGAGTCTGGCGTAGAAACATCTTGCGCTTGGGCCCATCCCACCAGAGGTTGTGAACACTAGCGGAGTGAAGCTGCCTTGATCGACATTTTGAATTCTCTCCCCATATGCCCTTCTCTTGTCGTTCTCGTTCCTCCTATGTGCAGCATCGAGAGCTAGGTTACGGTGACAAACGGCCATGGGATCAAAAATCCTGATGTCGAAGAAGGCTCGCTGTCCCCGCGTCCAGAATCCTCGAGCACTGACGTCCACACGGGCTTCGTTAGATGTGTTTGAAGTCCTGTGTTGGAGGATCTCGCCATCCAGTGGAAGGAGGGTCGGTTCTACCATGACGTCCCGGCAGGTTTCCTTCAACATATTTGCTGTGAGATCCCTTACCTCGTCATGCCTCATGCATATGAAGCCCCCCTTCTTGCAAACCATGGCGTGATCGCCATCATAGGAATAGCCACACACGCATTGGGAGGGCAAACCATCTACTGGCCAACCGTACCTTAGAGCAATGGCATCTGTAAATTCTTGTTTGTTAAGGCTGAAACCATTTGCCCTTATCGGTAACGTAGTTAACCAGTTCGAGGCGCCCACCTCCTGCGCTATAGCTACTTTTTTTGTCAGATTTTCTGGAACCTGCAGCAATAATTGCTGCAACATGTCATTTTGGCAGTGCTGCCGATCTGTTGTAATGGATCTACGGATCTTATTAACTTCGCTGGTGTCCACTTCCCCTGTTGCATTCTGGGCTATTATGTGGTCAGTGAGGGCTGCCGTGAGCTTAAGTGAATTTTGATGTTCAGAGTCAGCAATCTCCTCTGGATTAGTTAGTCCCATCCCTCCCAGTCTTGGTGGAAGTGCAAGAAGTGTTCTTTCTACTGGGGTTAAGTCGTGGTGTTTCACTAGTTTGGGAATGAACTTGACACTGATTGCTTCTTCCAAAGGGTGGAGGAGGGGTCGGATCTCAGGGATGGTACGCATCAGGTAGTTCCAACGATGCTTGACTCCATGTGTGAATGCTGCAAAGGCCGCATGTGGCTCTGTGTTAGCAATCTCCGATAGAGCATGGATTTCGCTAACCCACTCGTTCACCTTTCCCCCTACGTACTGGGTCTTGAAGTCCGTAGTGCCAATTACTGCGCCTAGATGTCTTTGGCCGTCCTTAGTTATTTTGACCTCACTTTCGCCGAAAACCTCCACTACTACTACTTTGCTGTCACTCGGAATCTAGTATGACGATCATCCAGCTATGATACAATGACATGAGTTATTAAGGATGTCACCTTCGTTGGTGAGCTCTGAGGTGACTCGAGAGGCCGATATGGGACCGGCAGAGTTGGTCACAGATGTTGCACGTGTGGAGGGCTACATCTAGTGCGGGAGGGGTGGCGGCAGCGTCTTTCCGGCGTTCGCGCTTGTCTGCCTCGGTATGCAGTCGGACTAACTCGAAAGTATTGACACCTTCTCGTGTGGTGCTCCTCCAAGCGTTACGGTGTGAAGTAATCATCTCCCAGGTGAAGGGGGTAGATTTGGCGCACAACACACACACACACACTCACTCTCTCTCTCTCTCTCTCTCTCTCTCTCTCTCTCTCTCTCTCTCTCTCTCTCTCTCACCCACGTTATTTGCCCATGCTTAATATGAACCCATGACATTTTCTTACAACACTAATGATATTGTTTTTGTTCATGGATGAGTTTTTTAAGGTTAACTAGTGTAACCCATTCGTGACAGTGACCCATAAAACTCACCCACGAAATCAACTCTTGATTTCTATTGGTCAGTTAGAGAGGACAAGAGACCGTGACGTCACTTCCTTAGTAACCGAGTCGGCCAAATTGGTGAGAAACAAAACTATGTAAACAAACAGTAATGGCAATGTACAGTCCCCTCCACTAGTGCGTTTACAGGGGCGCATCAGGTTTGTGCAGTGTGTGGCAGTGCTGTGTTTGTTTACATTCGACAGAAGGAAACTCGCATTAGTAAACATAATATAGAATCAAATTAAAACAATATTAAAACAAACAACTCAAACTATATTGATTTGTGGTGGAATGTTAATATGACGAGTCCCTGTAAAAGCACTCGTGAAGGGGGCTGCACTTGACTAAAACACCGATCAATATTATTTCCGGGAATTTAACGACGAATGAAATAGCAGCGATAAACCTTGCAATGAGCTTCAGAGGACCAATAGATAAACGAAAAGCTCAAACAATCTCTCAAAAATAAACTCCCTTGACGTCAGCCATTTCACGGATTAGCGAACGCGACGCAGTTAATACCCGTGTTTATGTTGGCGACTGCGAGCTGACTGGCACAATAAACCCCTCTCTATATCCCACAATGCCCCTGAGTAACAAATAGCCCAGCTCTGATTCACCTAAATGACCCGTCGTTTATAAAGACGGCTGGTTTAGATAACAGATGCCCTTCGACGGAATTAAATTTAGATACTGTGGGCATTCATCCCGTCCTATCCCCTATCCTCGCTTGATTACGAATGACCTGGCGTATAATGTAAGGTCCAGATTATAGGTATATACTTTTATTTTATTATAGATGGGAGTGATTATACGCATTGTTTATCCAAGTTGTCTGTCTGTCTGTCGTTCAAGTAGATAGGGTGGAGTAATACGCTGGTCTTTGTGATTAGTTATAGGGATTAAGATCTATTGGAGTTATGAAGGCGTTGAAATGGTTAAATTAATGTTATATTTTTGTTTATAACTCAGGGGAAGGATTCATTACATGTTAACAATGATGGCGGTAATTTAACAGTAAAGGAGAGACTCAGTTTAATATTAATGAACTGTAAGGAAGTAATGACAGATGCTACACACACACACACACACACACACACACACACACACACACACTTTATCTCGGTCCAACAATGAAAACAGAACACCCCCCCTTTTCAAGCATCACTCAGAGGGCCGCCAGCACAATGGTCGGGTCAGAAGAGGAAGTAAAAAACCATGAGGATATTAATTAATGTTGTGATGCTAGTCGAGCCCTGACCTTGTTTAACCTCGAGCTTAAACAACCCTAACCTAACTTAAACTAACCTAACTTAATTTAACCTAACTTAAACCAACATTCTTTTACCTTTAGATTAAATACCCTAACTCTCATCTAAGTTAACCTCACCTAATCTAACCTAACCCAACCCTAACCTAATCTTAACCAAACCTTAACCTAACCTAATTCCCCCAGGTAACATCAGGTGAAATAAGCTAGGGGGGGGGGGGCTAATCCTCAGGTGATCAGAATTAATTAACTTCCCCCCACACCTGGATCAACACACCTTTACTGCTCTGAATCTCCTGTTCCTCTCACGTCCATTGATAGATGAACGTCTATTGCGAGTAAACAAATACTACTTCATTCTTTTACCTCGGGCCAATCACAAACGGTGTAAATTGAGCCAATCAGAGAGGAGGAGGGATAACGGGATGATGTTTGTTTACCTTATGGACAATATGGCGGAGTTGGTTGCTAAGGAAGTGACGTCACGCCGATTTAGACCAATGGCGTTTACCGGTGATGTTATTATTAGCATTTACGTCACAGTGACCCATTACTACATGACAGTAACCCATTACTACATGACAGTGACCCATTACTACATGACAGTGACCCATTACTACATGACAGTGACCCATTACTACATGACAGTGACCCATTACTACATGACAGTGACCCATTACTACATGACAGTGACCCATTACTACATGACAGTGACCCATTACTACATGACAGTGACCCATTACTACATGACAGTGACCCATTACTACATGACAGTGACCCATTACTACATGACAGTGACCCATTACTACATGACAGTAACCCATTACTACATGACAGTGACCCATTACATGACAGTGACCCATTACTACATGACAGTGACCCATTACTACATGACAGTGAACCATTACTACAGTGACCCATTACTACATGACAGTGACCCATTACTACATGACAGTGACCCATTACTACATGACAGTGACCCATTACTACATGACAGTGACCCATTACTACATGACAGTGACCCATTACTACATGACAGTGACCCATTACTACATGACAGTGACCCATTACTACATGACAGTGACCCATTACTACATGACAGTGAACCATTACTACATGACAGTGACCCATTACTACATGACAGTGACCCATTACTACATGACAGTGACCCATTACTACATGACCCATGACTCACCCATGACACTGAGGTACACATCCCGGAAGATCTTGGGATGTGAGTTGACTTGACACTTGTAGGTACCGGTGTCCCAGGGCTTAGTGAACAACACCTGTAGCGTCCAGTCATCTGTCTCAGGA